TTCCCCTAGTGTCCGGTTTTGAAGGCATTTCCCGACCTCCTCAGGACATAGATAGACGTCCAATTTCGAAGTATATCGTGAACAATCTCCCTGAGTAAACAATGTCGAAGTACATGGCTATTATACACCCTAATTTTCTCAAGATCATGGCATGCCCCTAAAATAACAGTCTGGTCTTTGAGAGATTCACATACTGAGGTAGGGATTCACACCATAACATATCTTATTTTGTACAACATTGTTTTGCTGCCCAACTCAAGCTGACTAGGCTACATTATAGAAATCAGATACCATTTGTATTGTACACTTTCTTGACAGCCAAATAACGTTACGCGATGCAGTATTATAACAAGCATATTATGCCCCTATATTTACATTTGTTATGGCATGCCTAAAATGTCAAATATTTGACATGGAAGCTATAGCCAAACCCGAACTTTTACGTTAGTGTGGCATATCGTTATCAATCTAAGTTCTGCGCACATTTCGAATCTAAAAACATTCGCCACGTGTACAAATGTCATAAATTAATCTGATGCTTTCTCAGCCGCGAGGGTCAAGCAAAGATCCTCCCCCCTGTGTCAAGCTAGGTAGCTAGCAAGCTAATGTTAACAAGGAAAGCTAGCTAAATAGCTAGCTAACTTCATTGAAAAGTATCTAATGTAGCTAGCTAAACATGTAACTTTTATTTTCACAAGACAGCATAGCGTTACATTGTTGAAGCACTTACCACAAAATCGGAAATGTGACCAGAGACCGGTTTATCTGTGCTAATAAAAACCTATTGAATTATTCAAGCAACTGAATGAACACCGCTACAGTGCTTTCTGTGGATTGAGGAAGTTTACGTTCCAAGTAGAACTCTTATTATTGCTGAACTTTTGTCCACCAGGGAGCAGTCGATGATTAGCTAAAGTAAATCATTCATAAACCTCAATACAGATGCTTCTCCCACGAATGTTGAGAAAAGAGAAGGAATTTAATTACATGTATGAATGTAAAGAAACAAATGGTAGGGGGTGCTTCTGTTATTGATTAGGGCAGTTTGCAGGTGGAAATGTAGCCAGGGTTGATGGCAAGTAAACTGCTGAACTTAGTTTGTTTACCAGTGTATTACCGATTACATCTCTTCATTTTGAAATGAGGTTAAACATAGAAGACTATAGTATTTTAAAATTAGTATGCCTACTGTATAAAATATTCCAGTAGATGTTTATGATTTCTCTCTCTGCTATTACACTCCACCATAGTAGGTGGCAGTAGTTTTGCATGTTCAGTGGGGCTGCTGTTGAATGTAAAGCCATTTCCTTGTTGGTTGGTGAATGACTGGGATGTGCTGAAACACATCCGACTGCGTTGTTATAAAGCAGTTTTTTAAGTTTTGACCACAATGAGTTCAATTGGAACTGGGGTATGTATGATAGCTAAGATAGTGCTCTTTATACATTTGTATGCTAACAAGTTAAAGGTTTGGTAACTTGTTAGCACGGCTCATTCTTGGCCAAGCTAGCAACAAAAGTTAACCAACTTGCTAACTGTGGCTGCTCTGTGCTAGTTTGAGGTTTTACAGTAGTAGACAACTAATAACACATTAAATTAATTAATTCGTTTAAGATCTATAATCGTATGTAGTGAAGCACATTTTACATTGGTTACTGCTACCTACCTAACGTTCGTTAGCTATTCTTTCCCTACAGAACTATCTAGCTAGCTAACTAGTTAGCTGGCTACTTAGCCATGTTATCATGCCTGCTGAGTCACTTGCACTGCCACTGCAGCTAGCTAGCTAAATTAGCAATGCTGGCGAAACTAAATCGAAATTGAAACCAATTCAAGCGAATGGTATTGGTTGCTTTCTCCTATCGCTGAACAAAGGTTTTATTTCACCACTGGGTAAATTGAATTTCACAACATATGATATTTACAATCTTTTAAATAGCTAGAATGACACGCTGCATCTGTGTTGTAAAAATGGGATTACTCAAGTTAAGTTTTAATGTCACATGCACAAGTAACGTTACAGTGAAATGTCTTAATTGCAAACTCAAAAACCAACAATGCAATAATCAATAACAATGTATTACTAGAAAAAAAGCACACGAGGAATAAGAAATATGAAATGCACAATAAAGTAAGTAAGCATACTATATACAGGAGATATTTAAAAAGTCAGTTCCAATACCATATTTACATGTGCAGGGATACTGGCATGATGGAGGTAGATATGTATAGGTGTAAGGTGACTAGGCAACAGGATATAAGATAAACAGAGTAGCAGCAGCTTGCATGTGTGCGGGTGTGTAGAGTCAGTATGAATGTATGTGCATATTAAGTGTGAGTGAGAAAATGGACTGTTTGTGTGTGTGTTGGAGTGACAGTGTGTGTGAGTGTGTAGGGCCCTGTGAGTGTGCGTAGACAGTGCAAAATACTGAAATAAAAGGTCAATAAAGATACAAGGTAAACTCGGTCCATGTAGCTATTTTGTTAAATATTTATGAGTCTTATTGCTTGGGGATAGAAGCTGTTAAAGAGCATGTTGGTGTCAGACTTGATTCACCGGTACCTCTTGCTGTGCGGCAGCAGAGAAAATAGACTATGGCTTGGGTGGTTGAGGTCTTTGAGGATTTTCCGGGCCTTCTTTTCACACCGCCTGATATAGAGATCCTGGATGACAGGGAGCTCAGCCCCAGTGATGTACTGGGCTGTCCCCACAACCCTCTGTAGCACCATGCGATCGAGGGCGGTGCTATTGCCATACCAAGCAGTGATGCAGCCAGTCAATATGATCTCAATGGTACAGCTGTAGAACCTTTCCAGGATTTGAGGGCCCATGCCAAACTTTTTCAACCTCCTGAGGGGGAAGAGGCACTGTAGCGCCTTATTCACGACTGTGCGTTTGTGTTAGGACCATTTTAATTCTTTAGTGATTTGGACACAGAGGAACTTGAAGCAGACTACCTGCTCCACTGCCACCCCGTCGATGTGGATGGGGGTGTGCTCGCCCCCCTGTTTCCTGTAGTCCACGATCAGCTCCTTGGTCTTGCTGACATTGAGGGAGAGGTTGTTGCTCCGGCACCACACTGCCAGGTCACTAACCTCCTCCCTGTAGGCTGACTCATCGTCGCCGGTGATCAGGCCTACCACCGTCATGTCGTCAGCAAACTTGATAATGGTGTGGAGTCGTGCGTGGCCACAGTCATGGGTGAACAATTAGGCCTATCATGAAGCAACTTCCATGTTTTTTCTAGGTAATACTTTGAAAAGTGACACCCTTGAGCTTGGTTAGATTGATGTAAAAGTATGAAGTCTGACAGTTCCTGTCAATGACAAGTGTAGCTACAGTGGGGAGAACAAGTATTTGATACACTGCTGATTTTGCAGGTTTTCCTACTTACAAAGCATGTAGAGGTCTGTAATTTTTATCATAGGTACACTTCAACTGTGAGAGACGGAATCTAAAACAAAAATCCAGAAAATCACATTGTATGATTTTTAAGTAATTCATTTGCATTTTATTGCATGACATAAGTATTTGATCACCTACCAACCAGTAAGAATTCCGGCTCTCACAGACCTGTTAGTTTTTCTTTAAGAAGCCCTCCTGTTCTCCACTCATTACCTGTATTAACTGCACTTGTTTGAACTCGTTACCTGTATAAAAGACACCTGTCCACACACTCAATCAAACCGACTCCAACCTCTCCACAATGGCCAAGACCAGAGAGCGGTGTAAGGACATCAGGGATAAAATTGTAGACCTGCACAAGGCTGGGATGGGCTACAGGACAATAGGCAAGCAGCTTGGTGAGAAGGCAACAACTGTTGGTGCAATTATTAGAAAATGGAAGAAGTTCAAGATGACGGTCAATCACCCTCGGTCTGGGGCTCCATGCAAGATCTCACCTGGGGCATCAATGATCATGAGGAAGGTGAGGGATCAGCCCAGAACTACACGGCAGGACCTGGTCAATGACCTGAAGAGAGCTGGGACCACAGTCTCAAAGAAAACCATTAGTAACACACTACGCCGTCATGGATTAAAATCCTGCAGCGCACGCAAGGTCCCCCTGCTCAAGCCAGCGCATGTCCAGGCCCGTCTGAAGTTTGCCAATGACCATCTGGATGATCCAGAGGAGGAATGGGAGAAGGTCATGTGGTCTGATGAGACAAAAATAGAGCTTTTTGGTCTAAACTCCACTCGCTGTGTTTGGAGGAAGAAGAAGGATGAGTACAACCCCAAGAACACCATCCCAACCGTGAAGCATGGAGGTGGAAACATCATTCTTTGGGGATGCTTTTCTGCAAAGGGGACAGGACGACTGCACCGTATTGAGGGGAGGATGGATGGGGCTATGTATCGCGAGATCTTGGCCAACAATCTCCTTCCCTCAGTAAGAGCATTGAAAATGGGTCGTGGCTGGGTCTTCCAGCATGACAACGACCCAAAACACACAGCCAGGGCAACTAAGGAGTGGCTCCGTAAGAAGCATCTCAAGGTCCTGGAGTGGCCTAGCCAGTCTCCAGACCTGAACCCAATAGAAAATCTTTGGAGGGAGCTGAAAGTCCGTATTGCCCAGCGACAGCCCCGAAACCTGAAGGATCTGGAGAAGGTCTGTATGGAGGAGTGGGCCAAAATCCCTGCTGTAGTGTGTGCAAACCTGGTCAAGACCTACAGGAAACGTATGATCTCTGTAATTGCAAACAAAGGTTTCTGTACCAAATATTAAGTTCTGCTTTTCTGATGTATCAAATACTTATGTCATGCAATAAAATGCAAATTAATTACTTAAAAATCATACAATGTGATTTTCTGGATTTTTGTTTTAGATTACGTCTCTCACAGTTGAAGTGTACCTATGATAAAAATGACAGACCTCTACATGCTTTGTAAGTAGGAAACACTGCCAAATTTGCAGGTTATCAAATACTTGTTCTCCCCACTGTATGTTATCTCAACAGTGGCCTTTAAAGTATAACATCCCAAACTCTTTCCCTTTCTAGTATGACTTGTCTGCCTCTACCTTTTCACCTGATGGAAGGGTATTCCAGGTGGAATATGCCATGAAGGCAGTAGAAAACAGCAGGTATATGATCCTTCCCTGTTTGAATGTTTTCAATGCAGTACCCACATGATGGAAAATGCACAAATACCATTTTTTGTACCCAAGTGTCTCAATTTGTTGGTTCTTGTTCTTTCTGCTTACAGCACAGCAATTGGGATCCGATGCAAGGATGGGGTTGTGTTCGGTGTTGAGAAATTGGTTCTCTCTAAACTTTACGAACAAGGCTCAAACAAGCGCATCTTCAATGTTGACCGTCACGTAGGAATGGTATGTATTCATCCAGACCACATCCATAGTGTAAATACGGGGAGGGTGTTGACCAACAAAACTGATGCGCACATAACCATGTGGCAAAAAACAGATGGGTTATTTTATAATCAAAGGATTATTGACAACATGTAAGCTATATTTCTGAGCTCTTCTGCAAATCTTTATTGGAAACATAAAAACATTTACCCAATGCACTTGTTTTGTCTTTCAAATACATTGTTATTAGTTGGCTAGCTGGATAATCAATCAATCAATCAATTTTATTTTATATAGCCCTTCTTACATCAGCTAATATCTCGAAGTGCTGTACAGAAACCCAGCCTAAAACCCCAAACAGCTAGTAATGCAGGTGTAGAAGCACGGTGGCTAGGAAAAACTCCCTAGAAAGGCCAAAACCTAGGAAGAAACCTAGAGAGGAACCAGGCTATGAGGGGTGGCCAGTCCTCTTCTGGCTGTGCCGGGTGGAGATTATAACAGAACCATGCCAAGATGTTCAAAAATGTTCATAAGTGACAAGCATGGTCAAATAATAATCAGGAATAAATCTCAGTTGGCTTTTCATAGCCGATCATTAAGAGTTTAAAACAGCAGGTCTGGGACAGGTAGGGGTTCCATAACCGCAGGCAGAACAGTTGAAACTGGAATAGCAGCAAGGCCAGGCGGACTGGGGACAGCAAGGAGTCACCACGGCCGGTAGTCCCGACGTATGGTCCTAGGGCTCAGGTCTCTCAGTTGGCTTTTCATAGCCGATCATTAAGAGTTGAAAACAGCAGGTCTGGGACAGGTAGGGGTTTCGTAGCCGCAGGCAGAACAGTTGAAACTGGAATAGCAGCAAGGCCAGGCGGACTGGGGACAGCAAGGTGTCATCATGCCCGGTAGTCCTGACGTATGGTCCTAGGGCTCAGGTTCTCAGAGAGAAAGAGAGAACGAGAGAATTAGAGAGAGCATACTTAAATTCACACAGGACACTGGATAAGACAGGAGAAGTACTCCAGGTATAACCAACTAACCCCAGCCCCCCGACACATAAACTACTGCAGCATAAATACTGGAGGCTGAGACAGGAGCGGTCCGGAGACACGTCAAAACAAGGGATGGTATCAAGAACAAAATACAGCTAGCTGAAACAAGCGGTCTACAATTCACCACACACCAGCTTCTAGTCAATGTTGCTAGCTATCTGATCAGTGACAATAATACACAGCCTTTTACCTCTGGGTTGCTCATGCATTTGTCATGACGTTGTCAACCCGTATATTTATCTCGAAAGAACTTAAAGGTGGACTGAACTCTGCTGCTCATTAAGAAAAACTGGAATTGGGGATGTGATTGGGTGTGTTATGTTTGTCCCTCTTGAGTCATGGTAAAAAATGTCACTCAAAATAGAGTGAATCTAAGATAAATCAAGACATCTGTAATAAATTGACGTTTTTGTCAGAGATGTTAGTCGTGCAATTTTACATCTAGCTAAGGTATTTGGTATTTCTCAAGTTAAATGTGCATGAAAACTAGCTAGTAGTGCAATGCTGACAGTTTCGTGGCAGCTGCTGCTGCGCTCAGGACTGATTTCTGAGAACATGTCTAGAACTTCAGCAAGCTGTCAATCTAGCTACACGCTGTTTATCAGTGCCCAAAATCACTAGCTAGTTTCATCTGTGTTTGTCATTGAAGCTATCTAGTAGCTAGCAGGCACATTGAGCAGGCAGGCCACGTTAGCTAAATCCGCTTATCAAGTCACTGGCGAGTGGCAAAATGCTTCGGTGCCGTTTTTACAACTTTCTCACTATTACCGAAGTGTGCGTCTGGCATTTTTTCATAGTGAATCATGTTACAGCATGGAGCAGGTTTGTGTGTCTGTGGCGCTATGTGATAAACAGTGACTGTTTGAGCAACGGGCTGTCTTACCGTAGTGACACGGGCTGGATAGAATCAGTCTACTGTCTTCAGAACTGGATAATAATTGCTTTATTTGCCTGGCAAAATAATAGAACCAACAATATTATTTATTTTTCTATCATAAAGCAGTGATTGAGATTAGCCTAGGCTTAGGCTATAGACATGAATTATTGTTATTTTTGAAAGCCACAACTTTAGGACAACACCTTCGTATATTGTCCCGTGTAGCTCAGTTGGTAGAGCATGGCGCTTGCAACGCCAGGGTTGTGGGTTCGATTCCCACGGGGGGCCAGTATGAAAATGTATGCACTCATTAACTGTAAGTTGCTCTGGATAAGAGTGTGCTAAATTATGGAAATGTGATTTGGGAAATACAGTGCATTCGGAAAGTTTTCAGACCCCTTGACTCTTTCCACATTTTGTTACGTTACAGCCTTATTCTAAAATTTATTAAATTGTTTTCCCCCCTCAATCTACACACAGTACCCCATAATGACAAAGCAAAAACAGGTTTTTAGAAATGTTTGCAAATGTATTAAAAATAAAAAACGGAAATATCACATTTACATAAGTATTCAGACCCTTCACTCAGTACTTTGTTGAAGCAACTTTGGCAGCAATTGCAGCCTCGAGTCTTCTTGGGTATGACGCTACAAGCTTGGCACACCTGTATTTGGGGAGTTTCTCCTATTCCTCTCTGCAGATCCTCTCAAGCTCTGTCAGGTTTGATGGGGAGCGTTGCTGCACAGCTATTTTCAGGTCTCTCCAGAGATGTTAGATCGGGTTCAAGTCCGGGCTCTGCCTGGGCCACTCAAGGACATTCAGAGACTTGTCCTGAAGCCACTCCTGCGTTGTCTTGGCTGTATGCTTAGGGTCATTGTCCTGTTGGAAGGTGAACCTTCACCCCAGTCTGAGGTCCTGAGCGCTCTGGAGCAGGTTTTCATCAAGTATCTCTGTACTTTGCTCCGTTCATCTTTCCCTCAATCCCTCAATCCTGACTAGTCTCCCAGTCCCTGACGCTGAAAAACATACCCACATCATGATGCTGCCACCACCATGCTTCACCGTAGGAATGGTGCCAGGTTTCCTCCAGACGTGACGCTTGGCATTCAGGCCAAAGAGTTCAATCTTGGTTTCATCAGACCAAATAATCTTGTTTCTCATGGTCTGAGACTCCTTTAGGTGCCTTTTGACAAACTCCAAGCGGGCTGTCAGGTGCCTTTTACTGAGGAGTGGCTTCCATCTGGCCACTACCATAAAGGCCTGATTAGTGGAGTACTGCAGTGATGGTTGTCCTTCTGGAAGGTTCTCCCATCTCCACAGAGGAACTCTGGAGCTCTATCAGTGACCATCGAGTTATTGGTCACCTCCCTGACCAAGACCCTTCTCCCCCGATTGCTCAGTTTGCCCTGGCAGCCAGCTCTAGGAATAGTCTTGGTGGTTCCAAACTTCTTCCACTTAACAATGATAAGAGGCCACTGTGTTCTTGGGGACCTTCAATGCTGAAAAACATTTTTGGTACCCTTCCCCAGATCTGTGCCTCGACACAATCCTGTCTCAGAGCTCTACGGACAATTCCTTCGACCTCATGGCTTGGTTTTTGCTCTGACATGCACTGTCAACTGTGGGACATTATTTAGACAGGTGTGTGCCTTTCCAAATCATGTCCAATCAATAAAATGTACCACAGGTGGACTCCAATCAAGTTGTAGAAACATCAAGGATGATCAATAGAAACAGGATGCACCTGAGCTCAATTTCGAGTATCATAGCAAAGGGTCTGAATACTTATTTAAATAAGGTATTTTGGTTTTTTATTGTTAATACATTTGCTAAAATTATCTAAACCTGTTTTCGCGTTATTATGGGTTGTTGTGTGCAGATTGAGGATTTTTTAAAAATTAATTCATTTTAGAATAAGGTTGAAACGTAAATGTGGAAAAAGTCAAGGGGTCTGAATACTTTACGAATGCACTGTAAGCTACTTTTCATAACTAACTTGTCTTGAAGCTTTTATGATGGGCCAGTAGGAGGAATGAGGATAGGTTATTGGCCATTGAGTTTTCAACCTCGCTTGGAAGGATTTTCCTGGCCTGCATGGATCATTTATTTCTTAATAAGGTTAAACTTAATTCAATTTATCAATAGCCTATAGAAAAATCTAATGACATTGTTGTCTCATTATTAGTCCCCTGGCTACCTTAAGTTTTTAGGCTATTCAAAGAACCTTTTGAGATGGAAATCCGTTACATTCATTGTTTGATAGGGAGAAATCCATGCATAAAAAAAAAATGAAACTGTATGCACTCACTACTACTGTAAGTCGCTCTGGATAAGACCGTCTGCTAAATGACTGAAATATAAATGTAGAACGATGAAGCCTTCATATTCAAATCAAATTTTATTGGTCACTTACACATATTTTGCAAATGTTATCGCGGGTATAGCAAAATGCTTATGTTCCTAGCTCCAACAGTGCCGTTATACCTAACAATACATAAAAATAGAAAGGAATTTAGAAATATTAATATGTTTGTATATGATGGTGTGTATAGACTAGGGTTTCACAAACTCTGTCCTCGGGACCCCAAGGGGTGCACTTTTAGTTTTTTGCCCTAGCACTACACAGCTGATTCAAATAATTAAGCTTTCATCATTTGAATCAACTGTGTAGTGTTAGAGCAAAAACCAAAATGTGCACCCCTTGGAGGACAGAGTTTCAGAAACGCTGGTATAGACAGTATATGATTGAAAAGGTGTGTGTGTGTGTGTGTGTGTGTATAGCAGTAGTTATATAGGATGAGACTAGAATACAGTGTATATACACTACATGGTCAAAAGTATGTGGACACCTGCTCGCCGAACATCTCATTCCAAAATCATGGCCGTTAATATGGAGTTGGTCCCCCTTTTGCTGCTATAACAGCCTCCATTCTTCTGGGAAGGCTTTCCACTAGATGTTGGAACATTGCTGCGGGGACCTGCTTCCGTTCAGCCACGAGCATTAGTGAGGTCGGGCACTGATGTTGGGCGATTAGGCCTGGCTCGCAGTCGGCGTTCCAATTCATCCCAAAGGTGTTCGATGGGGTTAAGGTCAGGGCCAGTCAAGTTCTTCCACACCGATCTCGACAAACCATTTCTGTATGGACCTCACTTTGTGCACGGGGGCATTGTCATGCTGAAACAGGAAAGGGCCCCAGACCATTATTCCTCCTCCACCAAACTTTACAGTTGGCACTATGCATTCGGGCAGGTAGCGTTCTGGCAGCCGCCAAAATCTGATTAGTCCGTCGGACTGCCAGATGGTGAAGCGTGATTCATCACTCCAGAGAACGCGTTTCCACTGCTCCAGAATCCAATGGCGACAAACTTTACACCACTCCAGCCGACGCTTGGCATTGCGCATGGTCATCTTAGGCTTGTGTGTGGCTGCTCGGCCATGGAAACCCATTTCACGAAGCTCCCGACGAAGAGTTCTTGTGCTGACGTTGCTTCCAGAGGCAGTTTGGAACTCGGTAGTGAATGTTGCAACCAAGCACAGATGATTTTCAGCACTCTGCGGTCACTTCGCGGCTGAGCCGTTGTTGCTCCTGGACGTTTCCACTTCACAATAACAGCAGTTACAGTTGACCGGGCAGCTCTAGCAGGGCAGAAATGTATGAACTGACTTGTTGGAAAGGTGGCATCCTATGACCGTGCCACATTGAAAGTCACTTAGCTCTTCAGTACGGGCCATTCTACTGCCAATGTTTGTCTATGGAGATTGTATGGCTGTGTGCTCAATTTTATACATCTGTCAGCAACGGGTGTGGCTGAAATAGCCAAATCCAGTAATTTGAAGGGTTGTCCACATACTTTTGGCCATGTAATGTACATATAAAGTAGGTAAAACAGTGTTTAAAACATGATTAAAGTGACCAGTGTTCAATGACTATGTACATAGATAGGGCAGCAGTCTCTAAGGAAAGGGTTGAGTACCAGGTGGTAGCTGGCTAGTAACAGTGACTAAAGTTCAGGGCAGGGTACTGTGTGGAGGCTGGCTAGTGGTGACTATTTAAGTCTGATGGCTTGGAGATAGAAGCTGTTTTTCAGTCTCTCGGTTCCAGCTTTGATGCACCTGTACTGTCTAGATGGTAGCGGGATGAATAGGCCATGGCTCAGGTGGCTGAGGTCCTTGGCCTAATAATAATAATAATAATAATATAACATTTAGCAGACGCTTTTATCCAAAGCGACTTACAGTCATGTGTGCCTTCCTGTGACACCGGGTGCTGTAGATGTCCTGGAGGGTATGGCCTCTGGAGAGCCATGCGGTTGCGGCCGGTGCAGTTGCCGTACCAGGCAGTGATAGTCCGACAGGATGGTCTCAATGGTGCATCTGTAGATGTTTGTGAGGGTCTTAGGGGCCAAGTTGAATTTCATCAGCCTTCTAAGGTTGAAGAGGCGCTGTTGCGTTTTCTTCACAACACTGTCTGTGTGGATGGACCATTTCAGGTTGTCAGTGATGTGCACGCAGAGAAATTTAAAGCTTTTCACCCTCCACTGCGGCCCCGTCAATGTGGATGGGGGGCGTGCTCCCTCTGCTGTCTCCTGAAGTCCTCGATCAGCTCCTTCGTTTTGTTGACGTCGAGGGAGAGGTTATTTTCCTGGCACCACTCCGCCAGGGCCCTCACCACCTCCCTGCAGGCTGTCATCCATGGATCTGTTGAGGCGGTATGCAAATTGTAGTGGGTCTAGGGTGTCGGGTAAGGTAGAGGTGATATGGTTCTTAACTAGCCTCTCAAAGCACTTCCTGATGATAAAAGTGAGTACTACGGGGCGATAGTCATTTAGTTCAGTTACCTTTGCTTTCTTGGGTACATGAACAATGATGGACATCTTGAAGCACGTGGGGACTACAGACTGGGATAGGGAGGGATTGAATATTACATTTACATTTTAGTCATTTAGCAGACGCTCTTATCCGGAGCGACTTACAGTTAGTGAATGCATACGTTTGTTTTTTTCATACTGGCCCCCCGTGGGAAACGAACCCACATCCCTGCCGGCCAAACCATCCCCTACCTTGGACGACGCTGGACCAATTGTGCACCGCCCATGGGTCTCCCGGTTGCGGCCGGCTGCAACAGAGCCTGGACTCGAACCAGGATCTCTAGTGGCACAGCTAGCACTGCGAGGCACATGCTCTGAGGACGTGGCTATGGATGCCATTTGGGCCGGCGAGCCTTGCGAGGGTTAACACGCTTAAATGTCTTACTCACGTCGGCCACTGAGAACGAGAGCTCACAGCAGTGGCCCACGTCGGTGGCACTGTTCTCCTCGAAGTGGGCGAAGGTATTTAGCTGGTTTTCCCTTTATAGTCTGTTATTGTCTGGAGTCCTTGCCACATACGTCTTGTGTCTGAGCCGTTGAATTGCGACTCAACTTTTGTCTCTGGACGGTTTGTACTCGGCCATGTTCCTAGTTACTTTGCCATGATTAAATGGGGTGGTTCGCGCTTTGAGTTTTGCGAGAATGCTGCCATCAATCCACTGTTTGGATAAGTTCTAATCGTCACAGTGGAACAACATCCTCTGCACTTCCTGATGAACTCAGTCACGAGTCAGTGAATACGTCAAATGTTATTCTTAGAGGCAACCTAGAACATATCCCAGTCCATGTGATCACAACAATCTTGAAGCATAGATTCCAACCGGTCAGACCAACGTTGAACAGTCCTTACCACGGTTACTTCCTGTTTTAAGCTTTTGCCTATAGGAAGGGAGGAGCAGAATGGAGGCGTGATCGGATTTGCCGAAGGGAGGGCAGGGGAGGGCCGGAAGGGGGAGGAGCAATGGTCAAGAATTCTTGATGAGCGAGTAGCGCAGGTGATGTGTTGATAAAACTTTGATTGCATTTTCCTCAGATTTGCTTTATTAGTAGTGCGAACAAAGGATCCAATTCGGGAAAGACACATTTCTGGTCAAAATGTTGGTGAGTGACTGCTGATCTAATATCCAAAAGTTATTTTCGGCAATAGGTAATAATGCTAGAAACGTTCTGAGCAAATAATGTAAGAAATAAAACACACTGCAATACTGCAAAGTTGGCTACGAGCTAGGAACAGGGCGACCATGTCTGTCGGAGCCTATCGAATAGAGGGAGAAGGGAATATAGGCTACGGCTAAGGGCTAAACATAAGATGGTTAAGGAGTGTCTGTTATAAAAATAAATATAATAGGTTTAGGCTATAGCCCATGCATCCAACAGAGGGACATTTTGCGGTGCTTTGGTGGAATGTTATGCTTTGTCTAGCCTACATTCCCCTCTTGCGTTCTGTATAACATTTATTAGGCTAATGACTCTTAATGTCACGCGTGTGCTGTGCGCTGCGAGACTGTTCTTTACTGCGGGGCGCCAGTCAAGTTCAAATTGTCTAAACCATCATCTGTCACATCACGATGTCGTCACCATCTACGATGGCTGTCAAATCATTGTTGATAGACGATGCGAACGTAATATCACCCAACCCTACTTTCAACATAACATTGGCGATGGGTTGTCTTATCTAACAGCTTTGTAATGTGGGCAGGTCTGTCTGTCTGTAGGTTCTGCCGTACGATTGGATATAGTTCATTCAGCGCAGCTGTTTCTCCGTGCATGACAATTCTCTACATAGCTAGCCATTATACACCGGTTACTCATTAAAATGAGACTCAGCGATTATACAACATTGCCACGAGCAGCAGGATGCAGCACAGATATTGCAGATAAGTGCGATACTCAGTATCTGCGTATGGCCAAGAATGCGTTTCACGCTGCTGCAACATGATGGCTGTGATGACCATAACAATGGAGAAGTTTAGCATCAAGCCTAACACTCTTAGTTGTTGCGGAAGTCGTCCCGACTCTGTTGTTTACTTTGTGCATTGCTGAATCTACCTTTAACTTTCTTACCCATAGGCAGTGGCTGGACTACTGGCTGATGCTCGATCCCTGTCTGAGGTGGCCAGAGAGGAGGCCTCCAACTTCAGATCCAATTATGGACACAACATCCCACTTAAGGTAAAAATAACTCTGTTGCTATTAATCAGTGTTTCCCTCAAACTTCTCGGATACCCTGTCAGTTCCACATATTCGATCTATTCCATAACAGGACTACTACACCTGATTCAACTGGTTAACCTGTTTTGTCGACGTATTCTGAATTGCTTTGTCCCGAAGTCCTACGGACAGTCGTCATATTCCTTGAATGGCATATAATCTCTTTTTACAGCATCTCTCAGAGAGAGTGGCCATGTACGTTCATGCCTACACGTTATACAGTGCGGTGCGGCCGTTTGGATGCAGCTTCATCTTGGGCTCTTACGATCAAGATGATGGTCCTCAGCTGTACATGGTTGATCCCTCTGGAATCTCATATGTGAGTTAGGTTTTGGGTGTTTATCCCTAAACGAACTCTGTCTGTCATTAATTTACTGTTGTCACACTACACTCGGCCGGTTTCCCGAATCCAGATTAAGACTAGTCCAGGAGTAAGAGGCATTCCCAATGGAGATTTTACATTGAGCATGTGGTTTAGTCCTTGACTAGGTTTAGTCTGGGAAAATTGCCATTTAAAGGCCCAGTGCAGTCATAAACGTGATTTTCCTGTGTTTTATATATATACACACACATTTACACACTGAGGTTAGAATAATATTGTGGAAATGATATGCCCTTTTAGTGTAAGAGCTGTTTGAAACGACTGCCTGAAATTTCAGCCTGTTTTGGTGTTATCGAGTTTTGGCCTACCATGGTGACATCACCATGCGGTAAATTAGTCAATAGACCAATAAGAAAGAGTTCCAAACCTTTCTGCCAATAAGTTAGTATTCCGTTTTTTCCTCCCAGACAGGCCTAGCAAAATTATTGCTTGAGAAATTGCTCTTAGCTAAGAACCTATTTTTGTTTCTTTTTTACCATTTTTAATTGAAAGTACTTAATTGTTACCCAGAAATGATTTAAATAGTAAGATTAAAAAAAACTGCTGCTGCATTTGACCTTTGAGGTGTTTGGACCTATGCAATGTATTCAGAAGGGAATGTTCGGTTGTGAACATATTACAAACTATATGTCATCATGCAGCCTTAAAGTGATTACCTGAAATGTGTAACATTAGGCAATGTTGTGAAAATGAATTATTTTGTTTTATTAAGGGTTACTGGGGATGTGCTATTGGAAAAGCCAAGCAAGCCGCCAAGACAGAAATTGAAAAGCTTCAGGTAAGAATATTAATTTAGCCAAGTTGTCCAATTTCATAAGAGATGGGAATATCTTAGTTGATTGTTTAACTATGTAAGTCATTGCTATCAACAGATGAAAGACATGACCTGCAGGGAGTTGGTAAAAGAGGTGGCCAAAATGTAAGTGTTTTTTGTTTTATTAAAGGAACACACCTACTGTTGTTCATTCTCATCAATAGCCTCCAATCAAGGCACTGAGTATTACTAATGTGTTGTTGGATGTTTGTTTTGGTTTTGTAGAATCTACATTGTACACGATGAAGTGAAAGACAAAGCGTTCGAGTTGGAACTCAGCTGGGTTGGAGAAGGTAATGCAGCTTCCTCTTATATACACTGGGTGTACAAAAATTAAAGACACCTGCTCTTTCCATGACAGACTGACCAGGTGAATGCTATGATCCCTTATTGATGTCACTTGTTAAATCCACTTCAATCAGTGTAGATGAAGGGGAGGAGACCGGTTAAAGATTTTTAAGTCTTGAGACAATTTAGACCACGATTGTGTATGTATGCCATTCAGATGGTAAATGGGCAAGACGGAAGATTGAAGTGCCTTTGAACGGGGTATGGTAGTAGGTGCCAGGCGCACCGGTTTGTGCCAAGAACTGCAACGCTGCTGGGTTTTCCACACTCAACAGTTTCCCGTGTGTATCAAGAATGGTCCACCACCCAAAGGACATCCAGCCAACTTGACACAACTGTGGGAAGCATTGGAGTCAACATGGGCCATCCTTGGAACGTTTCGACACCTTGTAGAGTCCATGCCCCGACGAATTGAGGCTGTTCTGAGGACAAGTCAATATTAGGAAGGTGTTCTTATGTTTTGTACACAGTGTACATAATGTATTTGTAAGTCAGCTATTGTCTCCCGTTGTACATCTGAATTTGACAAACGAAACAAAGGTAGAATTTTGTACCCTAGTCTAAGCCACCAGCAGTGTACCGGGTGAGCGGTCATTGTATTTGTTTTGTAACAGACCTGACCCTCCGTGTGAGCCAGGGTTTCCGTTAGCTGGTAATAGCCGGCTTTTGGCTGAGATGTTGTTTTTTTGCAGATAAATAAAATTGCCGCTGGCCAATTGTCCAGGAGAAAAAGAAAAAAATCCCATTGCGAAATAATGCTTTTGAGCCTATTCATTGATTGAAAAATCAGTCGATGGAAATACATTTGACTGGTCACGCTTATCAGTCTATATAGTTAATTTGCATAATTTAGTGGAATTAAATTGGTGTATGTACAATATATTCATTATGTAGGCCTACCTTATTTATCACACACGTACAGCATACAGATACAAATCTGTCAGACAGCGTGAGCGCTGCTGCTACACACATCTCAAACAGCAAATGCACAGGCAACAGAAGGTAGGCTTCATCAGCGCGTCACACACCACTTTGAAATGAGCTGGAGGCAGTATGCATTTTCAAAACATATACTTAATTGTTTAAAACCGGAACGTTTTACTACATATTATGAGGCATGTCTTGCCTTGCTTCAAAGTAGCCTAGCCAAAATCAGACCATATCCGTGGAGGCAATTATTTTATTACATTTACATTTCTCATTTATATCAATAATAATATAATATGCCATTTAGCAGACGCTTTTTTCCAAAGCGACTTACAGTCATGCGTGCATACATTTTTGTGTATGGGTGGTCCCGGGGATCGAACCCACTACCATGGCGTTACAAGCGCCGTGCTCTACCAGTTGAGCTACAGAGGACCACATTGTCCAGTAGCCAAAGGCACAATCCTAGTCATAATAGCAACCCATGCTAGTTGTTGCATATTAGATCTACCCCTTTTCTATTATTTTCAACTCTTGTCACATGAAACCGCTGGCATGTGCGGTGAGCTTTTGACAACTGTGTTTTCCCGCTAATTGCATTATGGAAGGAACATTCACGCCTAGCCTACTGACTTGTGCTCATTGCTGCTCTTATAATGTGAATAAATAATAGTTGATCAACATTTTTAAGCTAAACTTTCTGATCTGTTGCATCGCTCATTGCTTTTTAATGTGTTTTAATGTAGCCTAAGCCTACTGGTTGTACAACAACTGTCCCAGAGTCTGTTTTGGAATAGGCTATTTCTTTCTCGACAAGCTGACCAATAGAATAGGTCAACTTTTCTACTATGGGGGATAGCAGTTTGACATAGGCTAGTGATTTTGCTGTTTTACTGGTCTTGTTGGCTGAGGAAAAATGTAATATGTACATCTTCGAAGTGCGCATCAGAATTCGGTAAGAAGGACCGCACATCATTGCATCCTCGACTTGCATGTTGTTAATATGAATTGCCATAATCTAAATGTGATTTCAGTCATTCTGACCACCGTGGGTGGATGCCCTAATCGGGTTACACACCCAATGCATATGGGTCTGGTCAATTTCTCAAATGTCCAGTAAATTAAAATGCTGCCGGTCAAATGTCCTACGCAACATTTTCCTAACGGAAACCTGGTGTGAGCAGAGTGTCCAACTCAAATCTGAAAGTTAACCGAGCTCATAACAAAGTGATGTATGGCAAGCATGTGCAGTAATGAGTTAGGATTCTGTCGGACGCTCCACCATCACCAGTTTTGACCAGCTACGTGACGGGCCATCGCCCGATCCAGTCAAATCAATCGCAGTTGATGTTATTCTTGAACTGAGTGGCATAACTTCTGACCTTCATTTCCCTTCACCAGTGACAAATGGAAAGCACGAGCTGGTTCCAAAAGACATCAGGGAGGAGGCAGAGAAGTACGCCAAGGTATGCACCACGACCACCAGTTTATATTGCATGGCATTTCTGTGACCTGGGTTTAAAACAGTGCCTTCAGAAAGTATTCACACAAGTATTTTTCCACATTTTGTTGTTACAGCCTGAATTTAAAATGGATTAAATTTAGATTTTGTGTTATTGGCCTGCACACAATACCCCATAATGCGTCAATAAGTATTCAACCCCTTTGTTATGGCAAGCCTAAATAAATTCAGGAGTAAAAATGTACCTAACAAGTCACATAAGTTGCATGGACTCACTGTGTGCAATAAGTGTTTAACATTGTTTTTTAATGACTACCTCATCTCTGTACCCCACACATACAATTATCTGTAAAGGTCCCTCAGTTGAGCAGTGAATTTCAAACACAGATTAAATCAAAGACCAGGGAGGTTTTCCAATGCCTCACAAAGAAGCGTAGATGGGTAAAAAAAAAGCAGACATTGAATATCCCTTTGAGCATGGTGAAGTTATTAATTATACTTTGGATGGTGTATCAATACACCCAGTCACTAGAAAGATACAGGCGTCCTTCCTAACTTTTTGGGGTCATGCAGCAAGACAATGATCCTAAACACATAATCAAGTCTACATGAAAATGGTTAAAAAGCAACAAATGTGAAGTTTTGGAATGGCCTCGTCAAAGTCCAGACCTAATCCCAATTGAGATGTGGCAGGACTTGAAACAAGCAGTTCATGCTTGAAAACCCACAAATGTCACTGAGTTAAAACAGTTCTGCATGCAAGAGTGGGCCAGTCATTGCAGCTAAAGGTGGCAGAAGCAGTTAGTGTAAGGGGGAATTACTTTTTCACACGGGAATTGGGTGTTGCATAACTTTGTTAATTAAATAAATGAAATAAGTATCTGTTTTTTGGGGGGGTTTTGGTTGATGATCTGATAACATTCAGTATCAAAACTCTTAAAAAATAGAGAATCAGAAAGGGGGAAAATACTTTTTCACGCCATTGTAGCTGGCCATAAATGTTGCATTTTACTTTATGGGTTGGTTATGTAGGCTTCTTTTAACCCATTACTTTCTACTACATAATAATATGATTAGGCTATATCTTTACATTGAAAACCAAAGTCTGCCAGAGTTCCATTCATTCCAATGAATTTAGATCAGCCATTGTTTTACCTGAGCAAAACCCAAAAACGAACGATTTATAAGCCTACTCTGTTTGATTTTGTTGTCATAGAGGACTGATTGGGCTCATTGCTTCGAGTTGTAAAAACAAATGCTGCTCTAATGGAATGGCATGCTTTGAGCACTACCGAAAAGTGCTATTTGCATCTGGAAAAATGAATGCCATATGCTGCATTTCCTATAGGACAATTGTTGGTGACACTTTGGTATCTCGATATTTTGAAGCTGTTTAAGTCTATCCAAAGTGCACGAGTTTGAGCATGTGGCTGTTAGGCCTATGGATTATAATTAGTTTTTATCAGCATGAATTAGATTTCTCAATAAAAGCCCCACTCTTCTTAAATTAAACTTATTTCTGACAGTATGGAGCACAATACCACGGAGGAGTTTAGAAGTAAACTCCCTCAAACTTGTATTCCTTAGGCTGGGATCCACATAGCAGCTGTTGCAAGAGCACATTTTTCACTGGCTGTCCACTGGTCGCAAAAACAATGATTGATAGGCAGCTTAAATTTATTCAATTCAACCATTATTGGGTTAAAATACAAATAACCACAATCCGTAAGGCGCATCGCCCGAAGGCTACACAACTGCTGTCGTCAATAGCTCCTAGCGTTTATTCAAGTTGGATAATCTTTTGATGCCGACTGCTGTCGTACCATTGGAAGACATGGCTTGGACTGTAGCCTACAAAAGCCTATTCCTGCTCGTTTCCCGTGAGCCATCAAACACATTTGGTGCATCGTCAGTGGTCTCTTGACTTGTGGTCATACTCGCTCAGGCGGGGAAAACTTAAACTTGCACCTCTTTTCAATGCTGATTTGAATGTCATTGAGAAAACAAACGTGTCAAATAATTTTTTCACAAACATCCTTTCTGAATTTAAAAGTAGTCCTAGAAGTAATCAAGTTTTTCAAAAGTATCTGATTACAAACAAAAATCTGGTAACGTAACGGGTCATTTTTTTGGTAAAAAAAAAAAATCATTAACCATGTTTTAATGCGAGTAAAGTCATACCGTATAAAAAAATACAAATTAACGACAGCGGTGATGGAAACAGGAAGTTTCGGTACAATTTCATAAATGCAGACAGATGATTTGTTATTTCGATATTGTGGGATCTTTTTGTCTGTTGATATATTGATATAATAACCATCATATCGAAGTAAACATGGAGTCGCCATGATATGGTGTGTGGTCCTCCCACTACGACTCGGGAAACCATGCAATTTATTAGGCTACAGATGAAAAGTTAAACTTCACAGGGTGGTAACTGGACTGTATCTACGAGCTGTTGGCTACAGCGCACGTCCCAAAACCAGAGTATGCACATTAACTATTTAACCCAAGTTTTTGTGACAACTATCGGGTAGAGTTGAAAATGCGATGGAAACGCATTGAACTTTCTATTTATTTTGGTACATGAAAAGTACATTGTGTGCACTGTCATCACGCGCTGATTTTTATCCTCAACAAGTCCATTTGGTGGAAACACCACTGGTGGGAAAATTCACATTTTCTTAATGCTGATTTTAGAATATTTGCATGAAAATCAGTCACCAATTGGATGAAAACCTAGCTAGTTACATGTAATCCATTACTCCTTATCCCTGGCCTTTAGCATGATAATAATAATCGTCTTTAGGCAGATGGAAAGGCTTTCCCCAAAATCTTCTCAATTAAGTACAAAGTAGCCTATGCCTACAGGGCAGAATCATGATTATTTACATCAATCCAGTGGGCATTTATTTTGCAAACTTCACAGGTGTTCTACAGAAACACTGCTAAACAAAGTGGTAGGTGCACTTGAATTAAAGAGTAACTACACTCAAATCATAATTTTTTTCCCAGACCTCAAAAGGGATCTACAGATGTGGTTTAAGCATTGTTGTGGACTTAGAACAAACAATTTTGTAGTTTTTCTATTATAATAAGTGATCTTTTTGGAGCAAAAAAATGAAATCAGTCCTTTGGTCAGCTTAATTTTTTTGTGGTATCGTGATACTAAATCTGGTATCGAAGTCAAAATTCTGTTATCGTGATAGCATTCAAATCTGTCTTGCTGGTGTCTAATTCACAATGCTTCTTGCTTCCACCATAGGATTCTTTGGAGGAGGAGGATGACTCTGATGAAGACAACATGTAAACTCAATTCTGCGGTTTCTTCACTCGTCACATACACCTACTGACAGGACAGCTCTCCAAGAAACAGACAGTTATTTTGTATGTTTTGTAGTTAATGGACTATTCATGTAATTTCTTTCCCTTTTGGTTTGATGGATTACACAGCGTTGAAATAAAAGTTGATGAGTACTGTTTATACTAAAAGCATCTTTGACCATTTTTTAAAACTAAATACAGTCAACAAGGGTTTGCCTGAGTAATTTGTTATTTCTTTGCCAATGTATATAGTACCGGTCAAAGGTTTGGACACACCTTCTCATTCCAGGGTTTTTCTTTATTTTTTTTACTATTTTCTACATTGTAGAATAATAGTAAAGACATAAAAACTGAAATAACACATGGAATCATGTAGTAACCAAAAAAGTGAAACAAAAAAATATATATTTTATATTTGAGATTCTTCAAAATAGCCACCCTTTGCCTTTGACAGCTTTGCACACTCTTGGCATTCTCGCAACCAGCTTCACCTGGAATGCTTTTCCAACAGTCTTGAAGGAGTTCCCACATATGCTTGAAGGAGTTCCCACATATGTTCCCACATATGCTGAGCACTTCTTGCACCGACTCATCCAAAACCATCTCAATTGGGTTGAGGTCGGGGGATTGTGGAGGCCAGGTCATCTGATGCATCACTCTCCTTCTTGGTAAAATAGCCCTTTACACAGCCTGGAGGTGTGTTGGGTCATTGTCCTGTTGAAAAACAAATGATAGTCCCACTAAGCCCAAACCAGATGGGATGGCGTATCGCTGCAGAATGCTGTTGTAGCCATGCTGGTTAAGTGTGCCTTTTGAATTGTAAATAAATCACACAGTGTCACCAGCAAAGCAGTCCCACACCATAACACCACCTCCTCCATGCTTTACGGTGGGAAATACACATGCGGAGATCATCCGTTCACCCACACAGTGTCTCACAAAGAAACGGTGGTTAGAACCAAAAATCTCATTTGTACTCCAGACCAAAGGACAAATTTCCACTGGTCTAATGTCCATTGCTCGTGTTTCTTGGCCCAAGCAGGTCTCTTCTTATTGGTGTCCTTTAGTGGTTTCTTTGCAGAAATTCGACCATGAAGGCCTGATTCACGCAGTCTCCTCTGAACAGTTCATGTTGAGATGGGTCTGTGACTTGAACTCTGTGAAGCATTTATTTGGGCTGCAATTTCTGAGGCTGATAACTCGAACTTATCCTCTGCAGCAGAGGTAGCTCTGGGTCTTCCATTCCTGTGGCGGTCCTCGTGAGAGCCAGTTTCATCATAGCGCTTGATGGATTTTGCGACTGCACTTGAAGAAACTTTCAAAGTTCTTGAAATGTTGACTGACCTTCATGTCTTAAAGTAATGATGGACTGTCCTTTCTCTTTGCTTATTTTAGCTGTTCTTGCCATAACATGTACTTGGTCTTTTACCAAATAGGGCTATCTTCTGTATACCACCCCTACCTTGTCACAACACAATTGATTGGCTCAAATGCATTAAGAAGGAAAGAAATTCCACAAATGAACTTAAGGCACACCTGTTAATTGAAATGCATTCCAGGTGACTACCTCATGAAGCTGGTTGAGAGTGTGCAAAGCTGTCAAGGCAAAAGGTGGATTTTTGAAGAATCTCAAATATAACATATTTTGAATTGTTTAACACTTTTTTTTTTGGTTTCTCAAATCAAATTTTATTTGTCACATACACGTGTTTAGCAGATGTTATAGCGGGTGTAGCAAAATGCTTGTGCTTCTAGCTCCGACAGTGCAGTAATATCTAACAAGCAATATCTAACAATTTCACAACATATACCTAATATACACGAAACTAGTAAGGAATGGAATTTTTACATATGGACAAGCAATTACAGAGCGGCATGGACTAAGATACAGTAGAATATTATAGAATACAGTATATACATATGAGATGAGTAATGCAAGATATTAAACATTATTAAAGTGACTAGTGTTCCATTTCTTAAAGTGGCCAGTGATTTCAATAGGCAGCAGCAGCCGCTAATGTGCTAGTGATGGCTATTTAACAGTCTGATGGCCTTGAGATAGAAGCAGTTTTTCATTATCTCGGTCCCAGCTTTGATGCACCTGTACTGACCTCGCCTTCTGGATGATAGCGGGGTGAACAGGCAGTGGCTCGGGCGATTGATTGCCTTCCTGTGACATCGGGTGCTGTAGGTGTCTTGGAGGGCGGGTAGTTTGCCCCCGGTAATGCGTTCGGCAGACCGCACCACCCTCTGGAGAGCTCTGTGGTTGCAGGCGGTTTTACCAGGCGGTGATACAGCCCGACAGGATGCTCTCAATTGTGCATCTGTAAAAGTTTTGAGGGTTTAAGGTGCCAAACTGAATTTCTTCAGCCTCCTGAGATTGAGTTGTGCCTTCTTCACCACACTCTGCGTGGGTGGACCATTTCAGTTTGTCGGTGATGTGTACGCCAAGGAACTTGACGCTTTCCACCTTCTCCACTGCGGTCCCGTCGATGTGTATAGGGGGGTGCACCCTCTGCTGTTTCCTGTAGTCCACGATCATCTCCTTTGTTTTGTTGACATTGAGTGAGAGGTTATTTTCCTGGCACCACACTCACAGAGCCCTCACCTCCTCCCTGTAGGCGGTCTCGTCATTGTTGGTAATCAAGCCTACTACTGTTGTGTCGTCTGCAAACTTGATGATTAGGGTGAACAGGGAGTACAGGAGGGGGCTGAGCACGCACCCTTGTGGGGCCCCAGTGTTGAGGATCAGCGAAGTGGAGATGTTGTTTCCTACCTTCACCACCTGTGGGCGGCCCGTCAGGAAGTCCAGGACCCAGTTGCACAGGGCGGGGTTCAGACCGAGGGCCTCGAGCTTAATGATGAGCTTGGAGGGTACTATGGTGTTGAATGCTGAGCTATACTACATGATTCCATGTGTTATTTCATAGTTTTGATGTCTTCACTATTATTCTACAATGTAAAAATAAAGAAAAACCCTTGAATGAGTAGGTGTGTCCAAACTTTTGACTGGTAGTGTATGTATTTAGTCTTGTAATACCTCAAGGACTATCACTACTTGATCCTTCTACTGGTGGTGCCAGTCGTAAGAACATAAATACTATTTCAGTGCACGGTGTGATGTTTCAGGTATGATATGAGTTGAGTGATTCCATTAGGGCAGTCATCTCCACATTGACCTTACAGATGGACCGCCACCTCTGACCACCGTGCCTCTCCATTCCATCCTTATCTGGTTCTGTCCCTGCTTGGATACAAATTGAGACTCAATGCAAAAGACCTGACCAGTGTATTGAATCTGAGGAATTGATTAGCTCATCTCATCTGTACATTTGATGAAATACACATGCCATGCTGTCTCGGGCAACAAATTGTCTTGTAGTGGTGTTAGTCAATCTAGCTAGTAGATTTAAGCTTGAAATTTCAGGAAACCCCGTCAGAAGACTAACCAATGTTAAGTTTTACCTTTAACACGCCTAATGCATTCATTTTCTGGCCTTAGGTTATTAAACAAGATTTGACAGCAATGACTTCACTAGCTTTTACCTAGTCAATGCTATCCGGGACCCTTGGGACGTCCCTACCCTAAACGCTAACCTTATCCATAACGAAAGACAGAGCAGTATGTTTAGAAACTCTGCCATAAGCCTTCCCTAACCATAACCATTTTACATTTCACCTTCAATGGGGGGGGGGGGGGGGTGGACTTCCCAATAATCCCGAATAGCAAGGACCGCTTTTACCTGCACATGCTTCCGGTTACGTAACCAATTTGTCCGCTCTGACGTCCTCCAGACATGTACACGGCGCCATTACCCTCGACCCCAAACAAATCGATCTTATGTATTTAACTCGTATCGCATTCTCTCCCCAGCAAATGACCACATAGCTAGTAACTCCTTAGTTCAAATACGAGTCACGGCTAGCACCATCCAACGAGTGAGTAGAAATGGCACGTGTTTTCACATACAGTCCATTTCCATCCATGGAGTGACAAGGAAGCTTCCAGCCAGTGTCGAAAATAGGCGGTCCATTGTAAAATATGTCTAACCAGTGAAAGGCTTGGGTTGAGATAAGTAAAGCCAATCATATTTCCATATTGGGGTGTTCTGGAGGGGGGGGGAAAAGCCAAGTATACGAGGACCAATAGCAACTTTTCCCTCAAAGCGCCGATTTCATCTCTACCAACCATACACACAGAGAAGGTATGTCCTATAGAATTTGAAGCATGTGTTGACCAATCATATTTCTGCGATTCGACCACGACTGTCACAGCAGCCAATCTGATTTCGAGAAACACAGCTTCGGCTCAAGCTTATTATTCGTGTATTGCTTTGCAACTCTAGCAAGTGGTGAGCAGTCGCGTCTTTGCAGTAAGTATAAAAAATATTAGCTAATATTCCTCTCAAATGAATTACAAACAGTTCAAGCTATTTAGATCAACGTGACACCCGTTTTGTTAAATACGGACTACACTTAGCTCAATGTGTCGTTATTTTGTCTTGCAAGATTAGGCTGGTAAGGAATTGAATCGCAGTGACCAGTTGGCTTGTTTTTGCAGTGAAGAAATGTATGCGCCTTTTGTGAAATTGGATAATAAATAAATAATTGTTGTCATGATACTTTTTGTTTTATCGTCGTGAACTACCTGCTTCTCGTGTATCCAAATGAGAACCACAGTTTGAAATGTTATACCGGAACTAGCCATCTGGCAAACTCCATGACTAGCAAGGCGGTTTAAATCGCCATATCGAGAAACTGTTAGCTAGCTAACGTTAGCTAGCTAGTATGGTGAAGTTAGCTAGCTAGGCAGCTAAATTTAGCTCCCGAGTTGAGAGATCTTCTGTCTTTCCTTATTTTCACAAAGAATGCCGACATTTTTATATTTTCTGTTTTACTGAAACGTCATTGTCTAAGATGACTGTGTGGCACACCTTTTGGAGACCGATGTTCTGTGTAATGTCATTTCACAAGCAGTTTGGAATGAATCCCCAGCCTGACATGGTGCAGCACTGCGAGCTATGATGGCGACGTGACACTGTGATTGCGAGCCAAGCGGGAAGAAATACGCACTATTCTGCTTGTCTATGTGCAACGTCCTTGTACTATGTCAACGTTGGGCTGTAAAGAACTTGATCATATTCTTTTAAAAAGCTTTCGACGATTTGTTTGTCTATTTTAACAATCGGCATACAGTTAAACTAGCTAGCTAACGTTAGCCACACATTTTTGTGAATCTGGAGGGAGGTGGGCGGCTGCATCGAGCTTGAAAAGAATGCGTTAAGTAGCTGGCTAGTTCGTTAGCTAGCATATTTATTAATTTTTCCCAATCATAGTTATTCGGACACGTCTTTAATAATCTGCAATTACTATATTGTTTTACAGCAATCAAAACCAATCGAGCTGGACTCCCTCAAATAGCCTCTACGATGAAGGTAAGTCACTTGGATAACCTCAGTTGAAAACAGCAGTGAAGCCGACGCCTCTTTCACTTAGCTTGCAAAGAGACATGGTCAACTGTATATGGTTGGCAACAACATGTCAACTTGAAGGAGTCAGAATGTTAGCCATATAGATGTTTCACAATTCATTTAAATGTTCTCACGTTTTAATCAAGGCATCACCATAAGACTATTTTCAGACAGCATTTATCCACCACCTCTTCCTGAACAAGACATGTTATTTAGTTGAAAAACCTCTAATGCAACTTCATGTTTATATGTGGCATATGATTGGTGTTACAAGTTCATGCTTCATGGACATTTCTTTTAAAAGTGGCTGAACTGTTTTGTTCCTAAGTAAGTACAATGATAAATGTAATGGTGTGTCTTTTTTTCTCACAGGCAGCAAACGAGCCTGCCTACCTGACCGTGGGAACTGAGGTCAGCGCCAAATACAGAGGTGCCTTCTGTGAGGCAAAAATCAAGACTGTTAAAAGGATGGTGAAGGTTAAGGTAAGAGCACCACACAACAATGTCTCCATCCCAAATGACACCCTATTACTTGTATAGTGCACTACTTCTGACCAGGACCCATAGGGTTTCCCATAGGGTTGTGGTCAAAAGTAGTGCATTATATAGGGAATAGTGTGCCATTTGGGACACTGACAATGACACTGTAATCAAACAAGGTATTAAGTGGAATGGTCCAATGTGTCAGCAAATGTTGATGTCCAAATCTTATAACAATATGTTGTTTATATAGACAAGCTGATTGTCCAGTTTTGGGTGACAGTTTTGCTGCAAAAGAACCCCCCCCCCCCCCCCCTCTCATATCTAGATATTAGTGTCTGCCAGTGGCATCTTTCAAGTAGAGACTTGTTCTATGAACAGTTTTGCTCAGTTTGTTTTATAAAGCATTAGGCAGTCTGTAACAACCTACTTAGTACCAGGTACACACTCCAAAAAAAAGTTAATTTAGTAATGACATAATCATAACACAACAATAAACACTGGCGATACTTGAATGTTTGGATATTCTGCCCTTACCGCTGCAGTTAATCAGCAGGTAGTTTTGTTTAGGTTAGTAATGAATGTACATTCAATAGGGACTGATAATGCTTGGACATTGGATTAGCCAGGTCTTGTTTTGTATGTTTTTGAGCAATGGATAGGCCTAGGAATTTAAGTTATATGTACTTTTGTATTCCAAAACCCATTGTGAAAATGTGGAGTTAGTGAACTGGTGAACCTGCTTTTAGTTCAGGGATGATGGTTATTGTTTTAAGACCAGATGATCCCCCACCAATCACCAGGTAGCAACATTGTGACCTGACCTCCTGTATTCTCCATTATTCTCCTTTGTTCAGCACTTCCATTATGATTGTCACAAGGTCAGAGTTCCCTTGACTGATTGTTTCATGGGACATGGTAGGTAGCCCCATTGAACTTTCTCCACATAGAAAGATGTGAACAATGAGCAAACAGTGAGTTTGCAAGTGAAGGCACCATTCCCTGGGAATACTATAAGCACATACCTACTACCGTATCAGATGGTTGAAGAGCTGTCTTTAGTTGGCAACCAGTCTATTGGTACAGCATTGTCTTCCAGCACTGCCATGTGTAGCCCCTGAATACAGGAGTTAATCTAAAGTCCCTTGGGGACAGGTCAGGAAGGGGAGAGTTTTGTCTGTTACGCAACTTAATTATTTCACCTTGACTGAACTGCTTTATCTCATTCATTCTCTTTCTTTGTCTCTCTCCCTAGGTGATGCTCAAAGGAGACACCACCTCGCAAGTTGTTCAAGATGATCAAGTGAAAGGACCGTTAAGGGTAAGTTGGAACTAACTGGCATCACCAAACTTGCCACAGGAAGATAAGGAAAATATTAATTAGGCCCTCCGTGTTCTTTTGGTTCTCAGAATAAATAGTATGTTAATCACATGATTCTAAGATCTGATCTGTTGGATATAACAATTGTGCTGTGCTTGTGACAGGAGCATATACAACAGGGACAGTTAGTACAGATAAGGTATTGTTGACGTAAGGCTTATTATTGCCAAATTGCGATGGTCACGTGACTAATGCTCTGGCAAAGCACACTGATCACCCGTTTTTCAACAACTGTAAGCATCAATGGCACTGCAAGTGTTACACATTCAAAGTTCCCCAAAGGTTCAAAATGGCCTCAGTTTTTCTGTCCTGATGTTTTCTAAGCCCTGTGTGGGTTCCCTTCATTGTTTGAACATATGTGATAGGCTTTCACGCTGCTCAGGTACATTATGTTCTTTATTTAGGGAAGTCTCTTAACTGTTGCCGTTTTGAGTTCTTGTTGAAATGGGAGTAAAAGAGCAGAACGTATGAGCTGTCTGTCTCATCCCTTTGTGTCCTTTTGCAGGTGGGCTCCACAGTGGAGGTGAAGAGTGCAGAGGGGATCTGCAGTGAGGCAACCATCAACAAACTCACAGATGCCAGTTGGTACACAGTGGGTAAGTACAGCAACAATACCCAAACTAATATACAATGCCTGCTCCTCAGTTAATGATTAGCTACATATGTCTTTGTTGGTTGCATTTCCCCCTTTTCTCTCAACTTACCTGATGGTTAATAACTATTTGTCTATATGAAGTCCTTAGGTCTCATATTTTGGTGTTCCTTTTTAACTTTTACAAGGGTGCTGTTTCTCACTGTATATACATGTTTTTCATGTGTTCCAGTGTTTGACGATGGGGATGAGAAGACACTCCGCAGGACGTCACTGTGTCTGAAGGGGGAAAGACATTTTGCTGAGAGCGAGGTAAAGGGACTGGTCTTCTGACCTGACCATCTTCTTAGCCATTTGATTTGGTGGCCTCTCTGTTATGTTGCACTTTAATACATTGATTAAGCCCCCTCCTTTCACCTCTCTCACTCACATCTAGACGTTGGACCAACTGCCCCTAACCAACCCGGAGCACTTTGGCACCCCCGTCATCGGGAAGAAGGGAAACCGCGGAGGAAGGAGGTCATCTCAGGCTCAGTAAGTTGAACCTTCTTTTACTTTTGGCTATAGGGAACCACACCGTTCTTTGCTTTAGATGCGGTTTTATGACTTAACAAGCATTACCTCTTACCTTTGCCAGTATGATTTTAATCTATAGCAAGCATGCTTCTTTCAATGCTCTTCCTGCATACGTTCAGACATGGTCATTATATACAACAACATAGCAAGATAGATGGACATCTTCCCATGACCAATTATGATAAAGATGAACAAAATGTAATGCCTGTTTACGGTTGAACATTTTAAAACTGGCTCCCATATAGGCCTTTGTGATTGATACAGCGTTGAGCTTCTATAGAGCTCTGTAGAAGCTTTTAACTGAGACTAAAGGTTTTGACGGAGACCGACTATAGCTTCTGACCTGTAGCGATTCTGTTCTGATGGAGAGTCCCATTGTTCAACTCCTCAGTGCGGACGATGACAAGGAGTCGTCCTCCAGTGAAGAGGACAATGAGGACAGGAGGAGGCTAAATGATGACCTGATGGGTAAAGTGGCCAGTGTTCAGACTGGGGCAGACTGGACATCCTGGTACCTGGCCCTGGTGAGTCACAACCTGCACAGCCCCAGTCACACTCTGTTGGTCTTTCTCTCTCTTTCACTTTCTCTCTCTCGCTCTCTCAACATGTATTGTATAATTAAATGGCCCTAGACATTAGCAACCATTGACAAGTTCATGAGTTGTGCAGATCAGTGAAGTTTCAATCTTTCACATTCAGCTCCACTTGTCTTACCTGCTAATTGAGAAGTGTCATGGAGATGTTAGTTCTGTTCATAAAACCACCTGAAAAACAAGTCATTGAAACTGAAAGCAAATGGACAAAAACCCTCCTTGCCTTTGGTCCTTGTTGTATGATTGTTCCTAAATGTTATTTATTGGTTCTGTCTAGGTTATATCACCCAGCTGCAATGATGACCTGACAGTCAAGAAGGACCAATGTTTAGTCAGATCATTTGCAGACTCCAAATTGTAAGCATGGTGCATCCTACTTTTACGTCATACAGTTTTAAAGAATTCCCAGTTAATTTACAAACGTCTTGGTATATGTTTGCCCGGTCATGCATGTTCTAGCTAAGGGCAATGTAAATAAGCATGTATAATGTACATTGCTGTTAGTCTTCTCAGAATTGGTACCAAAAAAATAAATCTGAATGCACATTTAGATATTTGTTGTTTTTCAGTCACACTGTGGCAAGAAAGGAGATCCATGAAGTGAACATGGACAGCATCTCTAAACCTGAGTTCTCGCCGAGGAATGGTAAGGGTGGTTCACCTAGGGAGCTCAACACTTACAATTCCAATTAGTTCCAAAACTGAATGGTATTATGTTTCATTCAACTGAATTGAGATGAAATTGACCTGTAGGCCTAACTCTTTACTTAGGGGGCTTTCACACCAAATTGGTTTGGAGCGGTTTTTCCGAACTCTGGCGCATTTCCCCCCCTTAGTTTGGTTCGTTTGGACTTGGTGTGAACACTATGCGCACTAAACAACTCACTGTGGTTCGTTCAAAAAGGGTGGTCTCAGTCCAATTCCATTCTTACCGTGGTGTGGTTCGCTGCAGCTGAGAACGCAGTCTGGACCAAACAGGAAAATAGCCAAGGAGTATTATTGGTTGTTTGACTGCGTGCATTTGATTAAATGCACATAGTACCATTACTTGATATCTCTGGAACATTCTGTGAGTGGCAGTGCATTTTATGGGCGCATCCATGCAGATTAGGGGAGAGAGGCTACTGAATATAGGCCATTCACATCGCAGTTAGAGCGGCTATTTTGGCTGTTCCCTCCCGCATGTTGTTGGAAGACCAAAGCGAAAGTAATGTGAAGTTTGCGACAAGTTATGCTTCTTGGTAATCATAGATGGATTTAACGTGATAATTTTCTTCCAATAAACAAATGACTTGCATGAACACGTGGATTTTGTTTAGGCATTTTAGTTCATTTGGCAATGTGAAACCAACTGGACCAAATGGGGGGGGAAAACAACAATGTAACAAATAATCTAAGTCTGATTCGAACTATAGCTCAGAACTATGTGTGAAAGTGCCCTTATTCTGGCTACTCCCAGGGTTGGATGGGGCAGTGCATTTCCTCAAGACCAAGGTGGTCCCTGACAGTTGGAAGATGGACATGAGCGAGATTTTAGAGTCCTCCAGCAGTGACGAGGAGGACACGGAAGGAAAGGAGAGTGATGACGAGGAGGAGGAGGAGGAGGAGGAGAAGGAAGATGCCAATGATGAGGTAAGAAGAACACTGTTTTAGTCTGGAGGGTTATTTTAAGCCTACAATTAAGTCACTTTCCTTTTAGATGCTGATTAGGCCAGAGCCTTTTTACATTCATAAATGAGAAGTCTTTCTATCAGTTTTGACAAGGCAGTAGCTTATCCAGTTGTTTGACTAACTGTTTACTGAAGTGTGTAATATTCTACTAACAATGACCATCACAACCTGCTTGAATAGCTACTAATTTATGGAGAGAGAAAAAGGAAGTTCTTACCAATCTCTTGGCTGCGTATTCATTTTGTCGTGATAAGTTTTATCTGAGCGCCGACTCACTGAGTAATGTAAACCCAGCTGTTTATTGTACATTGTAATGACCTCACCTGCTCTGAGAATGAAGTTGGCTTGGCACCTTGCATTCATTGCATTCCCTTTCTGACATCTTGTGGCTACTGAGCCACCTTGATTGAGCCAGACTCCCAATAGACCCTGTTTGCGTCCCAAATGGCACCATATTCCCTTTTAGTGTACTACTTTTGACCAGGGCCCATAGGGAATAGGGTGCCATTTGGGACGCACTCCCAGTGTGAGGGAAAGCCCCTTCCTCCGGAACAACAATGGTTCTTTCTTCCTGCTCCCAGAGTTTGGGACAAATGGCCATTCGTGTGGTTTCAGACACTGTTCCCATAGCAACTGGCAGCTACTTCCTATCATTTAGAGAGGGGCTGTGGGGATTGGCTGGGGGCCAGTGGAGGCTCCTGACTCCTCGAATTCTTTCTACCTCTGCTGCTTGTCATAAAAGCTTTGCTTCTCATGAGTGAAATGTGTTCACTTCACTGTGTATTTGCTTGTGTCTGGAGCACTTTGTCAGTCAAGGTATAGTTTACACGTCACAGACTACATAGATTACAATGGCATGTACATTTTTTTTTCTTTTTTCTAGTTCCTCCATTTTAGATTTCAGTGTACTGTGACAGTATCTGTTCTTTAGTAATATATGTACATAGGGAGCCATATCTATGGCCCTGGATGCTGTGAATAGGTTACACCAACACAACAGGGGCAATATGAATCTCTGAGAATGGTTTCGCAAACTCATCGAAAGTTATGATGACATGTTTCTCCTCTTCTCATGTTTTTTTTTTTTTTTTTTTTACATTTTAGTCATTTAGCAGACGCTCTTATCCAGAGCGACTCACAGTTAGTGAGTGCATACATATATATTTTTTGTTCTTCATACTGGCCCCCCCGTGGGAATCGAACCCACAACCCTGGCATTGCAAGTGCCATGCTCTACCAACTGAGCTACACTGGGCATGAGCTCAAAATAATCTCAGCACCTGACTGCCTACTGGCCTTGGCATACATGACATCTTCCTCTGCTCTAGTAGCGTTGCTAACTCTACAGGAATGTATTAGCTATGTCAAGACTGATGGCTTGCATGTCTCCTTGTCTACTCTGCTAGACTAGTCTGTAGAGGTTGTGACTATGGCTTTTGTCTTTATTTATTATATATTTTTAAACAAATGTAACCTTTTATTTTACCAGGTTAGTTGCATTGATATTTTGGCTCAAATGTGTTTTTGTCGAGAGACCGTGTCAAATTGGTGGTCCTCTGTAGCTCAGGTAGTGGGTTCGATCCCCGGGACCACCCATACACAAAAATGTATGCACGCATGACTGTAAGTCGCTTTGGATAAAAGCGTCTGCTAAATGGCTTATTATTATTATTAAATTAGTAGCACACTCAATGAAGGATAATGACTATCAGTAATTGTCAGTTGATGCCTAATTTGCCTATATAACCAAGGTGTGTGTTTCCTGCAGCCTGAGGATGAGGCGGACCCAGAGGAGAGGGATCACTTCCTGCAGCAGCTGTATAAATTCATGGAGGATCGAGGTGAGCCTTCAGCACTGTCCCATTTATCTTCCAGTCTGTCTATGTCCCAAATGGCATCCTATTCCCTATATAGTGCCCTTTAGAACAGGGCACATAGAGACTATATAGGGAATAGGGTACCAGTTTGGGACGCAGCCCTGAATTGTGCAGTCCCTCACTCACAAGAGTTTGAAACCATTGGATTGATGTAAGAAATATGGTGGACACTCTCCACACCAATCCAGTGCTTTTAAATCCTTGAGAGAGTGAAAAAGTGCACACGTCTGGGAGAAGAATGGGAAATAATTGGTGATCTTTCAAATGACTTTTACTGCACACAACACTTTACTGCGCAGGCACACTACCTGGCCCGGCTCTGAATTCCCCATCCATCTTTCATTGAATTTCACTGCAGGTCTTTATAACACAATGCATCCTTATCACTCATTCAACAACCTATGAAATAAAAAGGATCCTCCTGTGATTTTTTTTCAATGCCCTAAAATGGGCTACTTTTCCTCTGTGTAACGTCACTCTGCTCCTCTCGTCCTTTCCTCCTCAGGGACGCCAATTAACAAGCCTCCTGTGCTCGGCTACAAGGATCTGAACCTCTTCAAGCTCTTCAGGCTAGTCTACCACCAGGGGGGCTGTGACAAAGTAAGTGCATCATCTCTACAACTTGCTCTCTCCTCTGCTCTCTCCCTCCCTCCCTCTTCCGAGTCCTCTTCACTGCAGCGGCAGGCAGACTGTCTGGTCTCGTCGTCTAATGTGAACAACCTGTTCTCTCCAGCTTTGCCTCGCCTCTCCTGCGCCTCTGTAAGCAAAATTGCAGCATGTAGCTTTTTAGTGGACTGTCAAGGTCAAGCGGTATCTGTCTGGCTGGTGTTTTGCACATTGGCTGCTATGAGGGCAAAGAAAACAACAAGCCTGAAAAACGACTTAACCATTTGGACTCGCTCGATCAAGTGATGTTGGTAGCGTTTTGTCTCAGTACCTCTGTTTCTTTTGTTTAATATATTATTGATATAGCATAGCCTACATGAATGATTATTGATATGTTATTGTGATGGTGTTTTTTTGCAGATTGAAAGTGGATCTGTGTGGAAACAAATCTACATAGACCTTGGCATTCCTGTCCTAAACTCTGCTGCCTCCTACAATGTGAAGACTGCCTACAGAAAGTAGGTGTTTGTTCACCTCACTCAGACTGACAAACACTCTTTACCAGATGGTTCTTTCTTTTGAAGCTGTTGAGTCATTTTCTGTGCTTCAAACTGTATTCTAGGCCAGATTACTGTAAAGCACTTGTGAAATATGTTGCTGTAAAAAAGGCTTTATAAATAGATTTGATTGATGGATATTTCTGTTTTATGCACCAAGATTGTTTAGAAGTGTTGTAAGTGACGTCTACTTTGCTTGAGGGAATGCTAATATATTGTGTGCGTAGGTACCTGTATGGCTTTGAGGAGTACTGTCGCTCAGCTTGCATCGTCTTCAGGACCATCCACCACAGCGAGGATCCGCCAGCCTCCCAGTCCCAGACAGAACATATGGCTGCCCAGGTCCCTGAGGTGGAGGAGTGCCAGGGCCCAACACCACCCGTCGAAACTGAGTCTGCTGCAGCCATGGAGGACAAGCCTGCCCAGGAGGAGGCAGAGTCGGGGAGCGAGAGCGACAAAGAGGGCCACAAAGATATCTCTTCTCCCAAGGTTAGTAGTATTTTTTTTTTTTTTTTGTAATTTGTACATGACACTTAAGACAACTCTGTTTTGGGACTCTGTTAGATTGAAATCCTGTTCAGTTTCATGTGCAGTCAGTGTGACCAGGGTAGGTTCTCTTTCATTGAGATGGCCCATTGAGATGAAGTCTTTCTACTGTTCCTTCCCTCATATCTTCTCTTTCAATGCGTTTTGAGAAGGAGCCGGAGGGAGGATGCGAGGAATCGAGCAAATACATTTGAGACGAATGCTGTAGATAGTTTTGCTGCAGGCAGCCCAGGGTTCCTCCTCCATAGACACTAATCACTTTACTTTCTTCTTTATCTCAGGGGAGGAGACTGTGCACTGTGACCCCAGTCAAAGCTGAGGTGAAGGAGCCCGCAAAGCTGGAGAAGGCGGAGCAGAGAGGTGTGGGGGAGACCAGCGGAGAGGAGACTGGAGGTCCGGGAGACGGCATCAGGTCAGATGGAGGGGACACCCCGGGGAACAGACGCAGCCGACGCCTGGAGGAGTCCGATAAAGAGTCTGAGGACGAAGAGGAGGAGGAGGATGATGAGGATGAGGACAGCGAGAGGAGAGTCGGAGAACGGTACAGTTAAATGTTAATGAACCATCACACTGTAATATACAGTACCAGTCAAAAGTTTTAAACACCTACTCATTCCAGGGTTTTCCTTTATTTTTACTATTTTCTACATTGTAGAATAATAGTGAAGACACCAAAACAATGAAATAACACATATGGAATCATGTAGTAACCAAAAAAGTGTTAAACAAATCAAAATATATTTGAGATTTTTCAAATAGCCACCCTTTGCCTTGATGACAACTTTGTACACTCTTGGCATTCTCTCAACCAGCTTCAAGAGGTAATCATCTGGAATGCATTTCAATTAACAGGTGTGCCTTCTTTAAAAGTTAATTTGTGGAATTTATTTCCTCCTTAATGCATTTGAGCCAATCAGTTGGGTTGTGACAAGGTAGGGGGGTATACAGAAGATAGCCCTATTTGGTTAAAGACCAAGTCCATATTATGGCAAGAATAGCTCAAATAAGCAAAGAGAAATGACAGTCCATCATTAAGATATGAAGGTCAGTCAATACGGAACATTTCAAGAACTTTGAATGTTTCTTCAAGTGCAGTCGCAAAAACCATCAAGCACTATGATGAAACTCTCTCATGAGGACCGCCACAGGCATGGAAGACCCAGAGTTACCTCTGCTGCAGAGGATAAGTTCATTAGAGTTACCGGCCTCAGAAATTGCAGCCAAAATAAATGCTTCACAGAGTTCAAGTAACAGACACATCTCAACATCAACTCTTCAGAGGAGACTGTGTGAATCAGGCCTTCATGGCCGAATTGCAGCAAAGAAACCACTACTAAAGGGCACCAATAAGAAGAAGAGATTTGCTTGGGCCAAGAAACACGAGCAATGGACATTAGACCGGTGGAAGTTTGTCCTTTGGTCTGGAGTCCAAATTGGAGATTTTTGGTTCCAACCGCCGTGTCTTTGTGAGATGCGGTGTGGGTGAACAGATGATCTCCGCATGTGTATTTCCCACCGTAAAGCATGGAGGAGGAGGTGTTATGGTGTGGGGGTGCTTTGCTGGTGACACTGTCTGATTTATTTAGAATTCAAGGTACACTTAACCAGCATGGCTACCACAGCATTCTGCAGCGATATGCCATCCCATCTGGTTTGGGCTTAGTGGGACTATCATTTGTTTTTCAACCGGACAATGACCCAACACACCTCCAGGCTGTGTAAGGGCTATTTGACCAAGAAGGAGAGTGATGGAGTGCTGCATCAGATGACCTGGCCTCCACAATCCCCCAACCTCAACCAAATTGAGATGGTTTGGGATGAGTCGGACCGCAGAGTGAAGGAAAAGCAGCCAACAAGTGCTCAGCATATATGGGAACTCCTTCAAGACTGTTGGAAAAGCATTCCAGTTGAAGAGTTTAACACTTTTTTGGTTACTACATGATTCCATGTGTGTTCATTCATAGTTTTTATGCCTTCACTATTATTCTACAAAGTAAAAATAGTACAAATAAAGAAAAACCCTTGAATGAGTAGGTGTGTCCAAAGTTTTGACTGGTAGTGTAAATGGTGATAGAATTCATGGAATGTTCAAGATGATGTAATAATTGAATGTCACCTCAGGGCATCAAGTCTATTAGCTGCCAAGTGTTCATCTTCTCAAGTTCCTCTATTTTGTACTTGTCAGGATGTGGCCATTTAACCAACTAGAATGTCTTAAATTGGGTAACACACAAACAGGCGGAATATGATTCTAATCTGAGCGTGGTTTCACATACTTGCTGAAGTCTTGTGATGTCATGTTTCCTATTGGTGCTGCTGATTTTTGTTGTTGCTGTAACGTGCAGAGCTAACGGTCGTATTTACTAGGAAGCAAACTGACCGAAACTTGTTCAATAAGAAACTCACACTTTCGTTGCAAAACGGTTTGCTATGGTGTGAGCTAATGAATACGTCCCATTTCTATCATGTGAAATTGGAGTAGTGCTTGTAGTACTGGCTGAAGAGCTTCTTCGCTGAGTTTGAGGCCTTGTTCGAATGGCTCTACAGCGAACCCAAAGGTATTTTTTGGACTCTTTTGTTAGATCACAGAAAGGGGGTCTGTAGAAAACCCTTAGTGGCAATATGCAACTTTTTGGGGGACCTGACCAAATTCACATAGAAATGTGAGTTATAGATCCATCATTCTACATGAAAGCAAGCCTAAGAAGCGGTATATCTGTTCTATGTGCGCTATTTCTATGCTTCCCGTTATTAAGTTTTGTTTTTGCGTCTTTCGGTTTTGTACAACAGTGTCAAACAGCTGAAACAACAATATTTTTGATTATGCAAAATGTATTTCACAGCGGTTTAGATGGTACAATGATTCTCTACGCTATACTAGCTTATTTAGTCACAAACTACAATTAGGTGAACTAAGAGTTTTTGCAACCAGGAAATGGCAGCTACTTAAAGTTGCACTATCACGGTAAAGCAATGTGTTCTACTCCTTTTCATCAGAACCCTGGGCTTTTTCCATCTTTGTGGACAGAGGTCAGCTCAGCTGCTCCATTTATGTTGAACAAACTTTGAAGCAGTGTATTCATTAGTGCACACTGTAGAAAACTGTAGCAAACGTTATGCAGTGGAAAACTTTTTAGTTGCAAAAGTTAGTCCCTTCCTGTTTTCGCCTGTTTGGTTCCTAGTGAATACACCCCAATATTGGCAGTGTTAATAACCTGCTTTTGGATGCTAGCTAGCAGCAGCTAGCTTATTTTTGTGAATGGGCACCATAAGATTTGAAGGCTCTCAGGGACAGCCTTTACCCGTGGTTCTAAGTTGACGTATGTGTGGACAGGGGTGAGGACGAGGACTCTGAAGACTCGGTGACCGGGACTAAGGTGAAGGTAAAGTACGGTCGAGGGAAGACCCAGAAGATCTACGAGGCCAACATCAAGAAGGCCGAGAACGACGATGGAGGAGATGTCCTCTACCTGGTCCATTACTACGGTTGGAACGTCAGGTAACCCAAGGACACATGCTTCCATTCTCACCCACCTCAAAGCCATGATAGGGATTCTTGTGTTTTTATGATTCGCTGTCTTGATCACGTCAGGATTATCAGTTACTTTCCACCTTTCGCTATATTTCTCTCTGTTTTTGAAGTGACTTTGACTTTCAATGTAATACTTTGCTGCTATGTGCAAGCAGTATGTTATTGTTGTATGTGAACAATCTGAGAGATGAATGAGGGGGTCTAGCTATAGTGTTTATGGTTTCATTTCCCCTATAGGTATGATGAGTGGGTCAAAGCAGACCGGATCATCTGGCCTGTGGACAAGGGCGGAACAAAAAAGAAACAGAAAAAGAAAGTGAAGAATAGAGAGGAAGGAGAGAAGGAGGACGACAAGCAGGGGAAGCCGGGTGGCTTGAAGCCAGGTCGCCCTCTTCTTAGAACCACTCCCGCCAGCGCCAACCGCAGCGTCTCCAAGACCCCCAGCAGTGAGGGGCGCTCCAGCAGCAAGAGCAAATCTGATGTAACAGCCCTGCCCAACGGAGAGGGTAAGAGACCCGAGACCTGTACTTAGGTACCAGCATGTAACATGACTCCATGGGTGCATCTTGATGGTGTACCCTGACTTCTTTTACCCATCTCCTCCTCACATTAATCTGCACAGATCATCAGTATTATGGAGAGGGTAAGACCATGGGGCTCGTTCAGCAGTGTGCAATGTTATAAGATGTTCAGACCGAAATGTATTAGTATATAGAACTGATATCATTGTCTGTCATGTAGAATAGTGAATCATGACAGCTCTATTCATTCAATTTGTCTGTCGGTCTGTGTAAACAGGGACCCCTCGCCGGCGCACAAGAAGAACCTCTGGGATGTATGACTCGGACAGGGATTCCAACTCCAATGGTAGGTCAACATACCTCTAGATGCAGTATAGTGTAGTCACTAGTTTAATTAGGATAACTATGATATTCCACATCTAAGAATGATTAGAGGGCGTTTCTGGCCATGTGAGGCTGGTTTTACCAGACACAGATTAAACCTAGTCCTGGACTATGAAGCCCTTTTCAGTGGAGATTTTCCATTGAGCTTGATTTTGAGTCCAGGACTAGAATTAAACTGTCTGGGAAACTGCCCCTTGGTGTTTGGGAAGTAATTGTTATTTTAAGGATTGAAGCCTGGACTTTTGATGGATGCAAGCTAACCCTTGATGTCCCCCCCTCTCTACTTCTGGTAAAAGAATCGGGGAACTCGTCCGAGGACAGTGAGTCAGAGGATTCTCCTGAGAAGAAGCCTTTGTGGGCTGAGAGGACGGACCCCGCCACGGCCCGTAAGCAGGAGGAGGAGGAGGACCGGAGGGTGGAGAGAGGAAGAGCAGAGGCAGCACAGGCCGCAGCACAGGTCCAGCCTCCCAGCAGCCCTCAGGAGAAGGAGCAGCAGGAGGACAAGCTCCCTGAGAGGAGGGAGCTGGAGAAGGCTGAGGAGCAGCCCCAGGCGCCCCCAATGACCCCTGAACCTGACAGACCCAAGGAGGAGGACCCTCCTACCCCGAAATCCCCCAGGTCTAAAGCAGCACGTAGAAGTAACGTTCGCGAGCCAGAGAGGAACACCACCAACAACGACACTGGCTCTGAAACACCCACCAAAACAATCACCACCACCACCACTCCCAACTACACTGAGACCGAGTCGTCTCCCTGCCCGCGCCCCCTGAACAGGCAGGATGAGCCCATGGTGGTCCTTCACTGTCTCCCTGCTGAGCACATTCCCAGCATCCCTGACCTTCCCACCATGGACTCGGACACAGACTCAGCCACAGAGGAGGAGACCTGCAGGGAGGAGCGAGGTGTGGCCAAGCGTAAAGCTACCGAGCAGAGGACGCCGGACAAGAAGGTGCGTCTGGATAGGAGGGAGGAGACGACCAAGATGGCGTCGCCGGGGAGGAGGCCCGCTGACTCGCCGGGGAGGAGGCCCGCTGACTCGCCGGGGAGGAGGCCCGCTGACTCGCCGGGGAGGAGGCCCGCTGACTCGCCGGGGAGGAGGCCCGCTGACTCGCCGGGGAGGAGGCCCGCTGACTCGCCGGGCAGGAGGCCCGCTGACTCGCCGGCCAGGAGGCCCGCTGACTCGCCGGCCAGGAGGCCCGCTGACTCGCCAGAGTGGAGGCTGGAGGCAGGGGGACAGAAAGACGAGGAGCGCCTGACGCCAACTAAGGGGAAAACGGAGCCTGAGGTTAAAACAGAGATGCCTGCCCTCACTCCGGAGGTGCAGTGTCAAGGTCTAGGAGAGGGAGGTGTAGCAGGAGGTCGACCCAGGTCGGAGCAGCCAGGCTTGGGGGCCGAGGAGGAGGTGATGCCCCAGATCGGCCCTGAGGCGCTGGTCTGCCACGAGGTGGATCTGGACGACCTGGATGAGAAGGACAAGACCTCAGCAGAAGACCTCCTAATGATGATGAGTCAGGGGAAGGTCCATGCTCCCCCTCCGTCCAATGCCTCCTCCCACAACCCCCCTCCTCTATCATCGGGGGGCGCTGCTCCTCCACGGGTCTTCTCCCCCACCTCGGCCCCCAGCCCTGATGAGTCCCACAGCACCAAGAGTGAGAGCGACGTCACCATCGAGGTGGACAGCGTAGCCGGGGAGTCTCAGGAGGGGCTTGGCGATAACGAGTCGGCCAACTCCAATTGCTTTGAAGCTAGCACCAGCTCCAGCAACTCCAGCATGTCACTACAGGAGAGGGACACCAAGGACAGAGGTGGGTCACACAAAGAAACGCATAGAATAGGCTATCTTAGGGATGTTACAAATGGCACATTTTTCTTAACATTTAAACTGCCATTTTTTAAAGCTTTTCGTTAAAACAGTAAGAAAAATATCATAATTTCACAATGCAGAATATGGTCCTATTGTGTATGGTCGTCTAATTGCGTGTGACCACTAGGGGGCAATGAAGTTCTATCTACCGTGGTCAAATGCTGAATCTCAAACCGAACACTTGACCCCTAAGCCCTTTTATCGAGTGGCCACTTGCTGTTGTGTTCCATAGCGATCACTCGAGTCTGCAAGTTTTTTGGCCAAAATGAGCATTGAGCTGATGCGCACTCGATATCCAAACTGCCGCTTACCAATATAAATGTGCTCCTCTTTAGCTCAGCTGGTAGAGCATATTTTGGCTCAAATGTGTTTTTGTCGAGAGACCGTGTCAAATTGGTGGTCCTCTGTAGCTCAGCTGGTAGAGCACGGCGCTTGTAACGCCAAGGTAGTGGGTTCGATCCCCGGGACCACCCATACACAAAAATGTATGCACGCATGACTGTAAGTCGCTTTGGATAAAAGCGTCTGCTAAATGGCATATTATTATTTATATTATTATAAAAAAATCTATTTGCAAGCATTCTGTCCCTCGACCTGTCTTGTGCATGACTCACTCACTATGAAACACGGGCACTGATCGACCGGGAGAAAGTTGTCAAAAACGACATCTCCCTATTCCCGCACAAAACATGTGCAATTATATCGGTCGCCAGTGATTTCATCAGCTGATTTAGCTTGGTGTAGCCTGCCTGCTGCTTGCTAGCTTCACTGACAAACACAGGGATGGAATTTTAGCTAGATAACTATGGATGTTGGGCGCTGCACTGACAAACAGCGTGTATTTATGATAGTTTGACAGCTTGTCTGATGAAGTTGGAGACAGGTTCCCAGCAGTCAGTCCATACTTCAGCAGTAGATTGTACTGTACTGACTTGGGGCAGAGCAGGCTGTTCGCTGCTGTTGCAACTCGCTTGCCTTTCTCTGCCATTTTTCCAACATGGCGACGATGACCTGCGCCGTGCTTTACATCCTTGGCAAATCATTTGATAGATGCGTATCTCCTACTAACGTTACAGCATTGTTGTTAGGTATTTGTAAAATAAATGTCCCTTTATGAAGATGAGAGACCTGTTAGTGGTATTGTGATAAATAAATGCACAGTGATTTGGTCCTCTGAAATAAAAATTCTCAATATTCTCCCTTTCACCATCAGGTCAGAAAAGGTTGATGGACTGCAATATGAGTTCTTCTGCAAAGAAGCAGAAGCGAAACCAGAAACGGCCAAGCACAACGTCCGAAATTGATAAGAACGGAACAGGTAAGTTGCATTGTTCAATTCCATTAATGGCAGGCTATTAAATCACTCCCCAAAAAACTTGTCAATGTTTGAATCATTCTTGGCGGTAATGTGATTTGTGGATTCAAATAAAGTATTTAAAGTGTGTGTGCGCGTGTGTGTGTGACCACAGGGAACAGCAGTGACAGTGAGGACCTGGCTGTCATGGACACCTCCAGTAAGCTGACTCCAGTGAAACACTCCATGTCTAAAGGAAGCCAGAAGCTGGTCTCTCCTAACAGTAAGGAGCTTGAGAAGTATAAGCACAAAGACAAGCAGTCCTCCTTCCCCTCCCCTCGCACATACAAGTGGACCTTCCAGCTCAGTAAGTAGAACTAACCACTTATCGCTAATCAGCTTATCACACTGATCTCAGGTGTTGAGGAATCACAACAGGGGCCGGTTTCCCAGACAGACTAAGCTTAGTCCTGGACTTAAAAATCCCTTTCGATGTAGATTTTCCATTGAACACGTTTTTTATGACTATGCTTAATCTGTGTCCGGGAAACTGACCCTAAGAGTTTGGATTTTAGCCATTTAATTTTGTGACTATTCTTAAATGTAATATTGTATTTGGTGTTCTAAGTTAAATTATTTTGAAAGCATGCATAGCTTTATAGCTGAATGGTGAAAGTATGTTTTTGTTTGTATTTGTTCCGACCTTTACAATAAGAACTTTTGTGCGTCTCTGAGCAGATGAACTGGACAGCATGACAAGTGCTGAGAGGATATCCTTCTTACAAGACAAACTACAGGATATAAGGAAGTACTACATGTCACTCAAGTCTGAAGTGGCCTCCATAGACAGGAGGCGGAAGAGGTTAAAGAAGAAAGAAAGAGAAGGTAATGACTCTTCCTCAGTTCCTCCTCTGATTTATCTGAAGACTGTGTTATTCTAGTCCTCAGTCATGTTCGAGCAAACTGCTTCAATAGCGTTGTATTGTAATGCTTTACTTGGAATATTTCCTTAGTGTCTGTTTATGACACGCATACAGCTGTCTAACATCGTCTCCCTCTTCCCTGTCCTACTCATGTCTATTGCTTTCATTGTAATGGTTTGTTTTGTTTCTATGAAAGACAGATACAGCTGTCTAACCTCTCCTCCCTCTCCCTCCCAGTGTCCCACACCACAGCGTCAACATCGTCCGGCTCGTCAGACACTGGGATGAGCCCCTCTTCTGCCTCGCCCACTCAGAACACTGTGGCTGTCGAGTGTAGGTGATGACACGCCTCCTCCCCCATGGTTCCCATGGCGACCACCATGCCCATCTCTGCCTGCCATCCCAGCATCCCGCTGCCTCCCTGGAGACACAGGCTGCGTCCGAAATGGCACCTTATTCCCTATATAGTGCATATCTTTTGACCAGAAGCCCATTTCAAATGACCAGAGACCCTGGTCAAAAGTAGTGTACTATATATGGCATAGGGGTGGCATTTGGGACGCACCCATGTACTGACACGTAGGAGCAAGCGGCCTAAAGCACTCGACTGCCCCCCTCGGTCTCCTTTCACCCTTTATCCTTTCTACCGTATCCCATCCACCACTTCCACTTCCTGCACTTTCCTGCCTCGTAGTCATTGTAGTCCACCTATCGCAGTCGTCAGGAAATGGATTCCATGTGAGTTGAATGTAAAGTAAACCACAAACCCAAGATACTCCTAGCCAAACCCCTTCAGACTCTCCATCCTTGAACAGTCCATGGCACTTTTCTCCTCCCGCTCTGTCAGAACCACAGAAACAGATATATCCTCCTCTGGTTCCCCAAACGGGACCAATCTGGATGCAGTAATGAATCAATGATGTCCCAGACAGAACCAGACAGATGCAATGTATGTAACCTACAATGTAAAGGGTCCCTACCTATGTTAATAATGGTCACTTAACCAGCTGGACATGGTTTGCAAAAAGGTCAATTATGTTCGCTTGCACCATCAGAACTGCCAAAGTACTAGTGTTACAGCAGAGTGCCCTATTTTGGAAAAGTGTGAAATTCAATTGTGAAAGGGAATGTAGTTCACTGAAAACTACAGCTGTTGTCTTCCACTATTGCAGTGTCAGCACAGATTAATTATGCAAACTATATTTTTTTGTTCTCTTTTTAAGAAAAGTAATAAAAAAATATATATATATTAAGAAAAAGGTTTACAGTGGAACACAAGAGAAAATGATTTCAGTGGACTAATTTCCTTAGCGAGTGTATTTTGCCGTTTTATATGTAATTGCAGAGTTTTTATTTTAGTATGGAACATTTCAAAAAGTATATATCACAGCAGTGAAGTTATTTAATGAAAGATTTCTAGACCTGAAATTTTGTGTAAAATAAAGTAATGGTTTGCATTGTTAAATATATTTATTCTGTTAGTGGACACATTTTTTGTATTTTTTACAATATAGAGACATGACCCTTCCACAGTTTGGACAATGGGAAAGTATGATATCGAAATAATGTCATGTGCTCATCTAAAAGCAGACTTTTACTGTGATGTTTCAATTGGGTAGCTACTGTGCAGTAGATACACTGAGGGAACAAAACCATTAGGAACACCTTCCAAATATTGACTTGCACCCCCTTTTTCCCTCAACAGCCTCAATTCGTAGGAGCATGGACTACAAGGTGTCAAAAGCATTCCACAGGGATGCTGGCCCATGTTGACTCCAATGCTTCACACAGTTGTGTCAAGTTGGCTGGATGTCCTTTGGGTGGTGGACCATTCTTGATACACACAGGAAACTGTTGCGCGTGGAAAACCCAGCAGCGTTGCAGTTCTTGACACACTCAACCCGGTGGGCCTGGCACCTACTACCATACCCCGTTCAAAGGCACTTAACTCTTGTCTTGTCCATTCACCCTCTGAATGGCACACATATACAATACATGCCTCAATTGTCTTAAGGCTTAAAAATCCTTATTTAATAACCTGTCTCCTTCCCTTGAAGTGATTGAAGTGGATTTAACAGGTGATATCAATAAGGGATCATAGTGTTCTTCTGGATTCACCTGGTCAGTCTGTCATGGAAAGAGTCGGTGTTCCTAATGTTTTGTAAACTCAGTGTACATTTCCCCCATTTTCAATAGGGCCCACTACTTTCCCTTTGTTTTTCCCTAGATTATTTTTGGGGAACACCATAATTTGGTGGCCTTCACACTTTTTCACTTTGTTTCTTGGTACTTGTATTTGTTATTTAAAACATCTTATTTTCGACATGAGTTCTGACCAATTAAATAAAACAGTTGCATAAGAAGCATGTATGTTAAGCCCAGGGGTTTCTTATGATTGTATCTTTTGTACATAGATCATCCAAAACCATGTATTTGAAAAATACATTTTACACAAACTGTAAAGAATGATTATTATTTTTTAAACCTCATCTTTGTACCAGTATATTAAAACCTTTTTTTCTGTCAAGTTGGTAGAAACGTTAGCACACATTATACTGTATATACTGAACCAGTGGGTTTCAGCATTAGTCTGAATTGAACCCCATAGAAGAGAATAATGGAAGCATTCAGAACATTTTAAAATGTTTGTTTTAGACTTGATTTCATTGTGAAAAACGTACTTCTTTAAAATCGAAGTTTATCTACGGATTCCTAGATGAAGGTATTAAGATTCCCTGAGCAAAGCCATTGTATCTTTATGTAAAATAAGCAGAGCTCTCTTCATTTCTAATAAAGTTTTTAAATATTTCCCTTGTGCAATACTGATCATTGTCAAGAGGCGGAAATGTGGACAAATCTGGCTTCCGGGGGACGTCCTGCATCCACTGTGCTAGAACTGTTATTTCCCTCATTGAATTTTCTGGAGAAACATCATCTGTATATGTATATGTAGAACACACAGATACGCCCTTACACTAGATTCAAGCAGTATTCAAATCTTGTTTTGTTTGTCCTTTTTTATCAGGTTGACAAACCATTTTGCTTGGATTGCCTGAAAAACCCTAAATCACAAATTGATGCATTTCAACAGGCAGTCCAATTCTGATATTTTTTTTCTCCACTAATTGGTCTGTTGACCAATCACATCTTTTCAAGTCAGATCTTTTTAGGAGCTGGTCAAATACCAATTAGTGAGAAAAAAAGACCTGAATTGGGCTGCCTGTGTAGATGCGAAGCGGAGTGCCTGGATGCAGCCCTCAGCTGTGGTATATTGGCCATATACCACAAACCCCAGAGGTGCCTTATTGCTTTTATAAACTGGTTACCAACATAAATAGAACAGTAAATAAGTATTTTTGAGTCATACCTATGGTATATTGTCTGATACACACAACTGAAATGCTGTGTCAGCCAATCAGCATTCAGGACCCAAACTACCTGCTTTATAATCTTCAATATCCTCTGGTTATGCATCTCTAGGCCAATGACCTTCAAGTGACAGACAGAAGTATGTAAGTGAGGACAGTTTTGTCCTTGAGCTGTTCCTCAATATTTCCATCTTAGCTGTAGTGACAATCCATTACCAACAGATGGCAGTGATTTCAAATGTGTTTAGAGGTCAAACAACAGGACATTATACAATGGGTAATTTAGCAGTATGCCAATGTACAATTTAATTTAATGAATGATGCACAATCATTGGTACGAAACATTTATTCAGGGAACAAATGGGAATTATCATTATAGGATAAAGGAGACACCAAACTATTAATACCCAGGATTGTCATTACCTTATACAACAATCATAGACAATATTTCACGTACACTATAATAAAAACAAAAAAGGTAGCTAATTTTTATTTTATCTCATGTTCTGCCTGGATCACAACTCAATATGATCTCATATGTCATGATCAGGCTTTTCTGTTTGAGGGCTCATAACAGCTCTCTGGATAAAAGTGTCCAAGCAGTCATCAGCCCCAGCCTAAGAAGTAGTGGAGGTTGACAAGGAGAAGTTTGTGGCCGGTGTTAGCCATCCACTGATTCACATTTACATTGAGTTATGCCAAGACTGGATGGGCGACTCCTGGCGTTATCTGTCCATGTAAAGGGCAGTAGTTCTCTACCGTGGTCCCATTAAGCCTGCTTTCTGAGCCAGGGCTTCGTTCTGCTGGATGTGGTACTCCTGGAAGCGCATGGAGATACGCTGGGTCATCTTCAGGTACTTCTGAAGGCAGCTCTCCGAGCAGGTGGACTGAGGTGGAAACAATTACAGTTCTATGACATCACACATCCATATCACACCTCTCCAAATATTGCTTTGTCAACCGCAAAGGCTTCTACTCTAAAGAAGCTAACCTGGTAAAATGTCAAATTTGACAACATACAGGAACATTCAGTGACAACATTTAGTTGATAAGCAATGGTGCCACATTGTGTCCTATTTTACCCATTACCTAACGTTGTCCCCAGGCTTGATTGCTATAGAGAGAGAACCTTCTGGTGGATGAGATTACCCACTACCGAGCCTCGAACGATAAGACAGGATTTGGAAGTATGGCCTCGAGACTGCCTACTGCCCAGCAATAAGTATGAGGTTGTGTTCCCCTGCTCAGATCTTGCATGCATCAACCAATGGTTGTGTGCCACGTCATCGCACTGTTTGAATGGCCTTCAAGATTATTTAATGAAAACTGGGTAATTTAAGATATGTCAAATTATATTCTTTTTCGTGGATTAATTTACTTCTACCCAATGCCTTCTATGATGGTTTACAGAAAATAAAACAATTGAAAACCTTCATGAAAATCATCAGGTAAAAGTAAATTAATCCACAAATACAATTTTACATATCTTAAATGACCATGTTGTTTTCATGAATTTGATGATATGATCTTTAATGCCATTCAATAACAGCGTGGGACATGATCCAGAAAGTTTGTAAATGCAAAGTTTGGTAACAGAATGACGGCACAAACATCAAACTGTCATTCTGTTACCCAACTTTTTTTATATGCACTCTTCTTCAAGTAAATGTATTTTAGTAAAATGTTCTGTGGAAATTGTTTTAAAAGTAGTCATTGTGCATAGAGTTGTATGGTTTGTTTAACTTTGCAATCATTGGTTTTGTTTGACATACATTTTAAAGTGAAAAGAATCTGAGTCTCAGCATCATTCTGCTACCGTGGGATTGTCCTATACATATGGGTCGTGTACTCCTGCTCAGACGTTGCTGATGCATGCTAGATCTTACAACGCCTGGATAGGTATTTTACGTATTAGCTAACCAAATCATATGTTATAGTAATCTGGTGTCCGACTGCATAGTCGATGATGTGGTACGCAACCATTGGTTGACGCATGCAACGTCTGAGCAGGGGAACGCAACACTAATGTGGTTAGCTGATACATAAAATACCTATCCAGGCGTTATAAGATCTGGCATGCGTCAGCAACGTCTGAGCGGAGGAACAAGACCTGAGTCTTGAAGACATCAAGGAAATCAACCTACCTCCTCTGACTTTACTTCTCTAGTGGTAAAATCCTTTACACAGTCCATGAAGCAGTTCTCTGTGAGTTTGTTGTAGGTGCCAAGAAATTCTTTGAACTGTAAACACATACATATTAAACAGATAAAAATACACCTTATGGAACAGCGGGGACTGTGAAGAGAGACACACAGACACACGCATGATAACATAAATCACTATACACACCACAGGAGGTTTGTGGCACCTTAATTGGACAGGCTCGTGGTAATGGCTGGTGCAGAATTAGTGGAATGGGATCAAATACATCAAACACATGGTTTTCATGTGTTTAATGCCATTCCATTCGCTCTGTTCCAGCCATTATTATGTGCTGTCCTCCCCTCAGCAGCCTCCACTGACACACACATGGATTTTGGGTTGTAGATATGTGGTAGTAGAGTAGTGGCCTGAAGGCACACACTTAAAGTGTTGTGAAATGTAATGTAACGTTATTTTTTTATTGTATATAACGGCCTTAATTTTGTTAGACCCCAGGAAAAGTAGCTGAGCAGCAGCAAACGGGTATCCATAATAAATTCAAATACAATGTTTTACAAATGCATCAATTTTTTAACACTGATTTAAGACTAAACCAGATTGAATTGTGTGCGAATATCCTCAATGTACATACCTGTTTAACTTGGTCCGCTTCTGTTACCTGGACAGCCATTGTGGTTCAATTAGACGAGATTTCTGTTGGATTAAAGTTACACCCATGAATGTAATTCATTGAATGACAGCCCTATCCATTGTTATGTAGCTATGACGTCTGCTCACTAGCTATAACTAGCTAGGCATAGGGAGTACTGAATTACCAAGATAGCTACAGAGTATTCGTTGATTAGCTATATATGACACCTGACCATGCATTCATAACTGACCATTTCCATAGCTAGCTACTACATAGTTTAAGGCTTTTTGTGTTAGCTAGCTGGCTAGCTGGTTAACGTTAGCTATCTAGCAAGCTCAGACAGCTAACGTTAAAAGCTCACTAGCTGATTTGGTAAGGTTCACATGCTAACTATATATCCTAGTACTGCAGGTCAAGTGAAGCCTTTGAAGACATGACATACATTTTGAAATCAAATTTTGTGCACAAAATGCATGATCAATCACATGTTCTTTAACACAGAAAATAAGTCATTCACCCACCCAGATTCCGAAGGACATGTGACGTTGTGAAAAGGGGACTGCAGTGGCTGCGGCACCAACGGTTTCGAGAGGCTTGAAAGGCCAGATATTGGACAATAAACATTGTTTTTAAAACAAACAAATATTTCTGGAATAGTATGAAATATTTTATACGTTCGTGTGGATATGTATGGAACTCAAAATCGAAAAGTAAATTCTCGAAAATAATAACCGAAATGTCAAATTAGGATGAATTTTGTGTCACTGCATAAACACTCCGGTGTAACACGAGGTAATTAAAATATTCAATACCTCATTATCCTGTTGCTCGCTAGCCCTCCCTTTATCTAAAATCAATAATTATCAACAGCATACGTTTAATTATGTAATTATTTAGTATTTTATTAATATATTTTATCTTTGGATTAATGTTTCCTCACCTATGGAGTCCCTATCATGCCCAGCAGATGATGGCGATATTTCTCGCGGAGAGAGGATTGGTCATTTACCGGAAGTTATTGTTGTCAGCAACAGTTGCGGGGGTTTCATATTTTCCCTTAGGTAGCTAACAGTTGGGAAGCTATGTTGTATCGTTAGATTTTGACCTCGGGTTGCAATGAATTACGTTTGTTCAAAATAACTACTTTCTACTGAGTTTTGTCGTGCTGTGCTTTCAACTTTTTAGAGGTGTTAGCCAGCTAACGTTAGTAACTAACTTAGCTACCGTTAGCATAACGTCGTCATTAAACAATCGTGAAGCGGGATATTTAAATGTTCGACTTGCTAAGGAAAAGGACGACATTGGTTGTTTATTTATATCAACTCCCACGGCTAGTAACAACTGTTATGTGTAATTCCTGATCGGGTCTGGTGTTGAGCAAGCTAGCTATCAAGTTAACGTTAACGTTACTAGCTATCAGACAATTACTCTGCTGCAGTGCTCGCTACTAGATAATCAACTGAGTGACAGAGAGTCGATCCGATATGGCTCATACTCTTCTGAGCCGATCAAATGAACTTCTGAACTTTACAAGGAATATAAACCTTGACGAATCCACTTCAAGTTCTGACGCTGGAGACGTCTTGATTCGTGCAACTAAGATTCACTTTCCTGAGCAGAGCTATGAAGGGCAGAGGGATTTGGGGTTGTTGTCCACCATATCTAATAAAACAGACAATGTAAAGATAACAGTGAAGAAGTTGCGTAATGTTGCCCAGCCCTCTCTTCTTGACGAGCCACCAAAGATCGAAAAGCAAAGACAAGCAAGGAAACAAGAGCACAGGCATGTGCATCCTGCCCTGCGAGCAAGCCTGCCATCAGTTTCACCCTCAGGTAGGCTAAGTAAACCCACACTCGTTATATGGCCAGTGAAACTGTTATATTGTATTGCAGTTGCGTTATATTTGCCACTGATTTCAGGCTGACCAACAACATTTTGCTCTTCCAATGTTGTCTTTTCCAGAGGGAACGAAAGCAAGCAAAAAGAGTCCCATAAAAAGTGTCCCACAAAAAGAGTCCCATGTAAGATGACTTCTAGCTTGTTTTTTTCTGAGAAGAGTGTGTGCCTCACAAGTATGTCACCCACAAAAATGTAATCCATTTTGAACTGGTGTCATTTCATTTCCAGTTTCAGGTTCCTAATATAGATGGAAAAGAGACACCAACCTCTGTTCAACCTAAGGGCAGTGAGGACAAAGGTAAGTGTCCTTGGGCTAAACCTCTGATGTACTGGACAGTATGCTGTCAATGATTATCTACTGCCTACTTCATATACAGTGAGCTCCAAAAGTATTGGGTCAGTGATTTTGTTGTTGTTGTTTAGTGGTTAAGAGCGTAGTGCCTGTAACCGAAAGGTTGCTGGTTCTAATCCCCGAGCCGACTAGGTGAAAAATCTGTCCATGTGCCCTTGAGCAAGGTACTTAACCCGAATTGCTCCTGTAAGTCGCTCTGGATAAGAGCGTCTGCTAAATGACAAAAATGTAAATGTAAAATGTTTTGGCTCTGTACTCCAGCACTTTGGATTTGAAATGATACAATGGTTAAAGTGCAGACTGTCATCTTTAATTTGAGAGTATTTGGAGTTACATTTATTCTAAATAAGAATAGAATATGTTTCTAAACACTTCTACATTAATGTGGATGCTACCATGATTACCGATAATCCTGAATGAATCGTGAATAATGATGAGTGAGAGTTACAGAGGTATAAATATCATACCGCCCCCCAAAAATGCTAACCTCCCCTGTTATTGTAATAGTGAGAGATTAGCATGTCTTGGGGCTATGATATTTGTGCATCTTTAACTTTCTCACTCATCATTATTCAGGATTATCTGTAATCATGGTTGCATCCACATTCTGTTATATTCTATTCTTATTTACAATAAACATTTCTTTTGGGCACAAAATAATCTTAAACACAACCAAAATAAACAGCAAATGCATCCAACAAGTTTGTAGAGTCAAGCTTGATATAATCATTGTGTGCTAGGCATATGGGACTAAATACTAAACTTTTGACTACTTTAATACACATAAATTAATTTGTCCCAATACGTTTGGTCCCCTGAAATGGGCGGACTATGTACAAAAAGTGCTGTAATTTCTAAACAGTTCACCCGATAAGGATGAAAATACCCTCAACAGTCTGCACTTTAACCTCATAGTAATTGTATAATTTCAAATTCAAAGTGCTGGAGTACAGAGCTAAACAACAATAACACTGTCACTGTCCCAATACTTTGGGAGCTCACTGTATGCCGTTTTGTATCCTAACCCCACTCTTGGATTGTCCCTTAGGCCATGATCTGCTAATATCCCGATATGCTGGTGGTGGCAAAGGGGCAATCTTGGCAGCTCTAAGACAGAGGTAAGCATGGCACAAAGCTTTGGAATGACTTTCACTTTTTACATGCCAGATGTATTTGTGTTTGGAATGTTTGTCTACATTGCAACACAGCTGTACATCCCAAATCATTAGGTGTTAGTCATGATGACGCCATTCAATACTGTTTTCCTCAGGTCTCAGACTGCCCCCTTGAGGCGAGAGGTGAAGGTGCAGTTACTGGACCAGGGGCCACCATCGAGCCAGAAGCCCCAGCCTGCCTCTGTCCTCTCAGGGGATAAGGGGGCTGCCTCCACTGCAGCCATGGTCACAACCGCTGCCACAGCACCACTCGTCACGGTATTGTTGTAGCAGAGCAGTTGTGTGTTACTTTTTTCTGTGTCCTTCTGTGATTAAGATGCCATTTGAGAGAGCTTTTTTAAGTCCAAACCCCCCAAAGTCTACATACAATGATCATTGAAAGTGGTCTGGATGTGGATGCCTAATGGTTTGTTTCTGTCTTTCTTCTTTTTCAGGCTCAGAGTGACATGGAGGCGTGTGTTTCCCAGGTGTCGGAGGGGCTACGGAGACTGCTGGAGTCAGACAGGTACCCAGGCAGGGCTCAGGAGGCCAGAGAGGACAGAGCATCAGAGAAGGTGACCCAGCTGGAGGAGCAGCTCAACACCGTAACCCAGCAGAGACTGCAGCACCTGGAGTGGATCCAGAGCCAACAGATGGAGCTGCAGGTACTGTAGTGAAGGAGGAGCACTGAGCCTTCACACGAGTGCTCCAGATAGTAATATTTTCCTCAATAAGTTGCCGTCATTCTAATCGTTGCATAAAGGAATGTAAGAGTATATTTATGTAGACCCCTAAAGGTGTACACATCTTTATACAGTCCCCGAGTCCGAGTATGTCTGTAGTGTTTCAAGCAGTGTGTGGTTGTTCAGTGTACTTCTTTTTCTATTGCATGTTTCATCACCGCTATACTCAACTCTTTTTACTTTTAGTCATTCAATAACAGTTCTGACCACTTCATGCATGTCCTCTCATCCTCTCAGAACCGTCTCCTAGGCTCTGCTTTGAGTGTAATGACTGCCCACGCCCCTCTGCCCTCACCCTCCATGCTGAACACTGGCCCTGCTGCCACTGTACATCCAGAACCTCGGCTTCCTCAGGACCTCCAAATGACCCACCTTAATGCTACAGACTCTTCCGCTGCTGTTCCAGCCACAGGTAGGGTGCTACGCTTCCTCAGTCAGTTGCCTCATTGAAACAAATGATGAGAATGGAATTGAATATGTCATCAGAAAGTATTCACACCCCTTACCTTTTTCCACATTTTGTTTTGTTACAGTCTGAATTTAAAATGTATTAAATGTAGATTTTTGTTCACTGCCCTACACACAATACCCCATAATATCAAAGTGGATGTATGTTGTTTGACATTTTTACAAATTAATTACAAATGAAAAGTTGAAATGTCTTGAGTCAATAAGTATTCAATCCCTTTTTTTATGGCAAGCCTAAATAAGTTTAGGAGTAACAATTTTCTTAATAAGTTGCATGGACTCACTCTGTGTGCAATAATAGTGTGACTACCTCATCTCTGTACCCCACACATACAATTATCTGTAAAGTCCCTCAGTCGAGCAGTGAATTTCAAAACCGATTCAACCACAAAGACCAGGAAGGAAACCGGTGACTTTAAGACAGTTACAGAGTTTAATGGCTGTGATAGGAGAAAACCCAGGATGAATAAACAACATTGTAGTTACTCCACAATACTAACCTAACAGGGTGACAGGGTGAAAAGAAGGAAGCCTGTATAGAACAAAAATATTCCAAAACATTCATCCTGTTTGCAACAAGGCACTAAAGTAATACTGCAATAAATGTGGCAAAGCAATTAACTTTTTGTCCTGAATACAAAGTGTTTTCTTTGGGGCAAATCCAATACAACACATTACTGAGTACCACTCTCCATATTTTCATGCATAGTGGTGGCTGCATCATCGTTAAGGACTGGGGAGTTTTTCAGGATAAAAAGAAACAGAATGGAGCTAAGCACAGGCAAAATCCTAGAGGAAAGCCTGGTTCAGTCTACTTTCCACCAGACACTGGGAGGTTAATTCACCATTCAGCAGGATAATAACCTAAAACACAAGGCCAAATCTACAAAGTGAATGTTCCTGAGTGGCCGAGTTACAGTTTTGACTTAATTCTACTTGAAAATCTATGGCAAGACCTGAAAATGGTTGTCTAGCAATGATCGATTTGACAGAGCTTGAAGAATTTTGAAAAGAATAATGGGCAAATGTTGCACAATCCAGGTGTGGAAAGCTCTTTAGAGACTTACCCAGAAAGACTCACAGCTGTAATCGCTGCCAAAGGTACTTTTACAAACTATTGACTCGGGGTTGTGAATACTTATGTAAATGAGATATTTCTGTATTTCATTATCATTTGCAAAAATTCCTAAAAACATATTTTCACTTTGTCATTATGACGTATAGTGTGTAGATGGGTGAGAAAAAAATAAATGTAATCCATTTTGAATTCAGGCTGTAACAGCAACATGTGGAATAAGTCAAGGGGTATGAATACTTTCTGAAGGCACTGTATAATGAAATGAGGCCTGTTCAATCCCTAAGTTTATCCTCATTGGTTAGTTACGATACGATACTTGTCAATTTTCATGGAAATTCACTTCTACTTATACAAGTGAGTTTAGTTGTGAATCCATGTCAGATCTGCCACATATCTCCTGTACTTCTAATCTTTAGCTTCTCCAGACACACCCAGAGTTTTTGTATGTTAGATAAGTTGTGAATCTATGTAATCTGCTATGTATCTCCTCTTCTTCTTTAGCCTCTCCAGACCCATTTAGCCAGCAGAGGGGAGGAGGGGGTAAGAGCCCCCTGGAGACCCCAGCTCCTCGCAGGGTCATCCCAAAGCCTACGCGCTGGAACCCCACCAACATCCGGAACACACAGAACACTACACAACAGCACAGCTTCAGGACACAGAAAACACCTCGCACAGCACAGCAAGGTTAGTCATCAGTGTCCATGCATCTGTTAAGTCATGGGCTGTGTCTGAAATGGCACCCTATTCCCCATATAGTGCACTTCTTTTGAGCAGAGCCCTAATATGGTGCCATTTTGGATGTACCCATGGATTTCTATGGATTTCTTATCAGATGTAAGTCCTTTATATTTTTACCACTTGGGGGCAGTAGCGTCACTCCAACCTTCTGGCTCTTTGGGAAGCAAAGGCTTTTGCAGGAGATTTGAAAAAGGCAGTGTTTTATTCCAAAAATCTGAAAACAGGTTTTAATCATATGCTTTAATGTCACTGTGTTTTTTCCTGTTCTTGTTGATTTTTGTGATTGCTATTTCTCTTTGTCACCCCTTGATGAGATGGAATTAGGGCTGACCCCATTTAGTCGACTGGTGGATTGTTTGGTCAATAGGCTGTTGGTCGACCGAGATTTCTTTAGTCGAGCGGCAGCACATTTATAGAAAAAAATTATAATGGATCCATTGTGGAGGCCGTGGGGATGGCATCAGTCTAAGACGTGCTACTGAAATTGTATATGGTTATATTATGTAACAAAAATGGTGCAACACAAATAAAAATAATATTTTATAACAAATGCGCTTTCTTCCTTGTCAGATAGTGGTCGATATCCAGTGTCCACGGTTCTGAAACGCATCAGTGCGCTATTGAATTGGCGCCTTTTCCTAGACCATGTTGCTATGTGCATAATAGCAAAGTTAACCAGCATATTGGTGTTGAGAACAATGCGGTGGAGGCAGCAGCGGAGTGAGGAGACGAGAAAACAGCCCTTGCCTTAACTGTCTAAGAAAAGTGAGGAGAGAGGAAACCCCAACTTAATTAGGTCTATAATCAACAGCCTAACTGTTAAATGTGCCTGGCTTTATAAATAATCTATATATCTACAGAAATAAGACAGATCCTGCTTCTGTTGCCTGTTTGAGTGTTTGTTTAATAGCCTGCTGATTCTGTGAGCTCCAAGCCTCATGCATCCACATGTCAGATAAATAATTTCACAAATTCGGCAGTTTTTAATCTTTGCTATGCTGTAATAAAGGATTTAAAAAAAAAAAAAAATCGTTACACCAGCCTCTCTGGTATTATTTATAATTTATTTAGTGTTGTTTACACTGTTCCAAATTGTCCAAAAAATTATATTAATAATAATAACCCTCCTTTTTCCTTGATCTCCTTATTGTTATTATTATTGTGATCATCATTATAATAATAAGTAATGTCATTATCATTAGTAGGCTTAGTATAACAGCCTTGTATAACTACCATTGCGCTGTAGGCCTAAGAGCGCATCCTGTTTAGTCTTAATACCGTAACTTAACTTATTTCAATACTTATATAGGCTACTGTATCAATCATATCATTACACAGCATACAAGTTATTCATGATTTTGAAATGCAATCAAGCATTTTAGTTAAAAATTAAAATAACAAAGCGATCATTGGATAATTAGCGTAAACAATAAATAGGCCTAAACCATTACATTTTTGAAAATGCATTCACAAATGAATGCGATTGTTTTTAGTCTTTACTGTAATAAAGGCTTTGCAAAAAAACAAAAAACGGACTCTGGTACGCTTATTTATTGTTCCAAACGGTCAGAAAAAGTATATTGTAATCTAACAGCACCTGTTTGGCACACATAATATGCACACAGCGCTTGCTCCTTACCTTCCTTTTCTTGATCTCCAGTATTTTCCACAACTAGTCAAATGTATTCCACACATCTGACTTCCCCTTTACCTCCTGCTCAACCAGTAAACATTCCCCCGTTTCAAGTTTATTTTTCACGTCCTCTGCATCCATTTTGCTGTCACGTGTTACGGTGTTCAGAGTTTGTTATAACCAATTTATTGATGTGAATATAATATGCTATAAGTCAGGCCCTATTGGTCACGTGCATGCGATACATAACTTTTCAGTCAGACATGGCTGTAATTAGGTTGCAGCTTCAACAACACAGCGCGATACACACTGCTGATGTTCTATGGTGGTCGCTGCAGCAGGGAGGAGAGGGAGAGAACGGGTGTTAGTCACACAGTCACTTGCTGTCTTTTTTATTTATTTTTTACACAGTCTGAGCCCGGCCCGGCACAATCAAATCAATTGCGGTCGGACTCCCTCTAGTCATTTGTGTGTCTTAATTAATTAATCAAACATTTCGCTTAATGCATCAGACAAGGTCAGTGCATATAGTTGGTTTGATTAAAACACATAGGATGTGTCTATATATGGAAATATACATGTTTAAAAATGTCAACCAATCGATTGGTCGAAAGAACAGACGACTCTGGTCGACCAAGATTTTTTGTTGTTGTCGGGGACAGCCCTAGATGGAATAAAAAAACAAACGTTACTTTCAACCTCAGTTAATTCAATCCATGGTGGAATGGGGTTATAGAATGGGCAGGCATAACTATGGACAACGAACACAATTGCATTTTATCAATGGCAGTTTGAGATACCGTGATGAGATACCGTGACGAGAGTGCTAAGGACCTCAGACTGGGGCGAAGGTTCACCTTCCAACAGGACAAACACCCTAAGCAAACAGCCAAGATAATGCTGGAGTGGCTTCGGGACAAGTCTCTGAATGTCCTTGAGTGGCCCAGCCAGAGCCTGGACTTGAACCCGATCTAACATCTCTGGAGAGACTTGAAAATAGCTGTGCAGCAAAGCTCCCCATCCAACCTGACAGAGCTTGCGAGGATCTGCAGTCATGAAGAGGACACGACACAGCCTATTCCTCCTCAAGAGACTGAAAAGATTTGGCATGGGTCCTCATATACTCAAAGATCTACAGCTGCACCATCGAGAGCATCCTAACTGGTTGTACATCCTAACAGAAGTACAATCGAGTTGAGTTTATTGATAGCCACCACTCTTAGAATACTTTGTGAACAAATAGTTGGCTTTTTAACCAGTTGAATGATAGAGCAAAATGTTGATTTCCACCTAAATAGACATACCTGCACATGTTGCATAGTTTCAGAAAGGTCTGGAACTCACCTTTCTGGTAAAAAATAGTTATAAATTGCTGAGGTGTACTCACTTTTGAGGACACAAACTCAAGTACGTAGTACAATTATTATGAAAAATCATGTTTTTTTTCTTCCTATTCAACAAAAGTGGGGCAATGGGGCCTGAAATTACTGAAATGCTTTCTAAATATAGTAACATTTAAATTATAAACGACTTACTATAAGATTTCACCTTTCTTAAAACTGTATAATACATATGATCATACTTAGTGACAGTACAATATTGGCTCTATTTCATATAACTGACGACAGAGAAGACGTGTCACTCCGCTGAAAGAGTGGAAGCGGAGAGCAGACAGATGGGGCTTTCTGGCACTATAAGGCACGGGACCCTACGGCGTTCATGGAGCACTTTGTGCACCAAAATGTCAGTCGGAACCAGTCCAGAACCGCTCGAAGTTCCCCATATAGGGGACTTAACATCTGAATACAGTGAGGGAAAAAAGTATTTCATCCCCTGCTGATTTTTTATGTTTGCCCACTGACAAAGACATGATCAGTCTACAATTTTAATGGTAGGTTTATTTGAACAGTGAGAGACAGAATAACAACAACAAAATCCAGAAAGACGCATGTCAAAAATGTTATAAATTGATTTGCATTTTAATGAGGGAAATAAGTATTTGACCCCTCTGCAAAACATTACTTAGTACTTGGTGGCAAAACCCTTGTTGGCAATCACAGAGGTCAGACGTTTCTTGTAGTTGGCCACCAGGTTTGCACACATCTCAGGAGGGATTTTGTTCCACTCCTCTTTGCAGATCTTCTCCAAGTCATTAAGGTTTCGAGGCTGATGTTAGGCAACTCGAACCTTCAGCTCCCTCCACAGATTTTCTATGGGATTAAGGTCTGGAGACTCCTTTGTTGCCTTGGCCGTGTGTTTTGGGTCATTGTCATGCTGGAATACCCATCCACGACCCATTTTCAATGCCCTGGCTGAGGGAAGGAGGTTCTCACCCAAGATTCGATCGTACATGGCCCCGTCCAATCGTCCTTTTGATGCAGTGAAGTTGTCCTGTCCCCTTAGCAGAAAAACACCCCCAAAGCATAACGTTTCCACCTCCATGTTTGACGGTGGGGATGGTGTTCTTGGGGTCATAGGCACCATTCCTCCTCCAAACACGGCGAGTTGAGTTGATGCCAAAGAGCTCGATTTTGGTCTCATCTGACCACAACACTTTCACCCAGTTCTCCTCTGAATCATTCAGATGTTCATTGGCAAACTTCAGACAAGCCTGTATATGTGCTTTCTTGAGCAGGGGAACCTTGCGGGCGCTGCAGGATTTCAGTCCTTCACGGCGTAGTGTGTTACCAATAGTTTTCTTGTTGACTATGGTCCCAGCTGCCTTGAGATCATTGACAAGATCCTCCCGTGTAGTTCTGGGCTGATTCCTCACCGTTCTCATGATCATTGCAACTCCACGAGGTGAGATCTTGCATGGAGCCCCAGGCCGAGGGAGATTGACAGTTATTTTGTGTTTCTTCCATTTGCGAATAATCGCACCAACTGTTGTCACCTTCTCACCAAGCTGCTTGGCGATGGTCTTGTAGCCCATTCCAGCCTTGTGTAGGTCTACAATCTTGTCCCTGACATCCTTGGAGAGCTCTTTGGTCTTGGCCATGGTGGAGAGTTTGGAATCTGATTGATTGATTGCTTCTGTGGACAGGTGTCTTTTATACAGGTAACAAACTGAGATTAGGAGCACTCCCTTTAAGAGTGTGCTCCTAATCTCAGCTCATTACCTGTATAAAAGACACCTGGGAGCCAGAAATCTTTCTGATTGAGAGGGGGTCAAATACTTATTTCCCTCATTAAAATGCAAATCAATTTATAACATTTTTTACATGCGTTTTTCTGGATTTTTTTGTTGTTATTCTGTCTCTCACTGTTCAAATAAACCTACCATTAAAATTATAGACTGATCATTTATTTGTCAGTGGGCAATCGTACAAAATCAGCAGGGGATCAAATACTTTTTTCCCTCACTGTAGATGTGCCTTTTTGTTAATGTGGAGGTAATTGATGTGTTTCACATATAGATGTTACAGCAAGCCAATCAACTCTAAGAAACCTATGAAGATCAGC